AGCAGGAAAGAGGAAGAAAAAGGGGGGGGGAGGGGGGGGAGGGGGGGGGGGGGGGCGGGAAGGGGGAGGGGGGTGGAGGAAAAAAAGAGGGGGGAGGAGGCCTGGGAGGGCGGGTAGGCCCGCAAATCAAAGAAAATGAGGGGTGGCAAACGAGCGCAAAAACAGGGTGTCACCAAACATTTGGGGTGCAGGGAGGAGGATTAGGTGGAGGTACCTGAGGTAACCACCAAAACGCCTTGGGCCTGTGGCCTCGGCGGATTTTCGGAAGCTCCCAGGTGATGTCTACTACCTCCCGCAGCGGCCCGCGAACATCCTCGGCACGCTATCGGTGCGGCCCCAAGGGCGCTTTAGGGTTTAGGGTTTAGGGTTTAGGGTTCAGGGTTTAGGGTTCAGGGTTTAGGGTTCAGGGTTTAGGGTTTAGGGTTTAGGATGTACTTTGGAGGTTCATAGGACTTAGTAAAGAGCTCCTTAAAGGGATCCTTGCAGGGGTCCATAAAGGGATCTATTATAGGGTTCCTTAAAGGGATCTATAGGGTTTAGGGTTTAGGGTCTACTTGGAGGTTCATGGGACTTAGTGAGTGCTATAAGGGCTCCTTAAAAGGCTCAAAAAGGCTCCTTAAAGGGATCTATGGGGTTCCTTAAACGGATCTATAGGGTTTAGGGTTTAGGGTCTACTTGGAGGTTCATGGGACTTGTAACCCTAAGGGTCCAAGTAATCCTTATTTATGGTTTTTGATGCCTAGTAAGGCCCTACAGTCCCACAGTAGGGAGTACTTGGACCCTCTGAGAAAGTACAGTTAAGCACCCTAATCGGGATCATAAGTACATATACGTGTAGCTACCTTAAATAGAACCCTAGTTACTAAGTCCCATGAACCTCTAAGTCGGGTTTAGCGTAGGGTCCGGTAAGTGTACTGAAAAGACCATTGGTCTTACTAAGGCTGATTATGCCTTAGGAAGCTAACCAATAGCTACGTTTACTTATAGCCCCAAGTACAATGCCTCTAGTCCCGCCTGTAGCTACCCATGACCCTTCAAGCACGGTGGCTCGCCCTAAACACTATAAACCCTAACACCCCAAACCCTAAACCCTAGTCTTAAACCGTGACGCGTCTGCCCTGCATTCCTAGGCTTCTGAGCCCCTAAACCCCGAAAGCGCTAAACTCAAACACCAAGCACGGCACAGTGAAAAAAGACTCACTGCCTGCACCGTACTTCCTGATAGCCTGAGTCAGCACAGACACACCTTAGTTGCCGCGTTCCCGAGGTCGTGTGGTACGCAAGATGCAGTAGCACTCTAACCGCTTATTGGTTTCTCGTCAGTGCCCAAAGACTCCAATATCCCTTAATTAAGGAATATTCCTTAAATCATATTAGGGATCCTACTATTATTTAAGGAATATTTCCTTAATTAAGGGATATTGGAGTCTCTGGGTGGTGGCCGTTTGCTTCAAAGAATCTCAGCAGCGCCTAAACCCTAAACCCTAAACCCCTAAACCCTAAACCCTAAACCCTAAACCCTAAACCCTAAACCCCTAAACCCTAAACCCCTAAACCCCAAACCCTAAACCCTAAACCCTAAACCCTAAACCCTAAACCCTAAACCCTAAAACCCGAGTATTCACCTTGGTGACAGCAGCCTTGGGGTTGCTTGGAGGTTCATGGGACTTAGTAAAGAGCTCCTTAAAGGGATCCTTGCAGGGATCCATAAAGGGATCTATAGGGTTCCTTAAAGGGATCTATGGGGTTTAGGGTTTAGGGTCTACTTGGAGGTTCATGGGACTTAGTAGGTAGGGTTTAGGGTTCCCTTTAAGGGTACTATAGGGCTCTAGAATAAGGTTCCTTAAAGGGAGCTATAAGGGTTCTATAATGGAAGGTTCATGGGACTTAGTAAAGAGCTCCTTAAAAGGCTCCTTAAAGGGATCTATAGGGTTCTAGGGTTCTTTAAAGGGATCTATAGGGTTCCTTAAAGGGATCTATAGGTACAGTTCTAAGTATTTAAGTACATATAAGTGTAGCTACCTTAATTATAACCCTAGTTACCAAGTCCCATGAACCTCTAAGTGGTCCGCGAGATCCAGGGTTGTCCTTCGTGGGCCCTATGTTCATATGTATGCGGCAATTCCGAAAGTGAAAGCGCGCGTGTTAACGTCCCCATACAGTTTAAAGTGCTGTCTCCCTCAAGCTCCCGCGCCGCTGAAGCCGAAGCTCTAGGCTTGCAGGGCTTGGGTTTAGTTTTGAGGGTTTAGGGTTTAGGGTTTAGGGATCTGGATCCGGTTTTTCAGGGTTTTCTGTTTGTGTCGGGATTTCCGGGTTCCTAGAAGGTCTAGGTTTTCTGTTTTAGTTAGTGGTTTTGCCATCTTTTAGTGAGAGCACGCTACAGCACGAGCCCTACTAACTTCTTTCTAGCACCCAGAGTAGGACCTTATTCCCTATTTTTTAGGGTTTAGGTTCCCTTAGAACCCCCCTTCAAACCAAAAAGGGCCCCCTTCTTTTTCCTAGGTTACTCTTAGGTCTAGTATAGGGCTCCCTTCAAGGCGACTGTTCCTGAACTCCATTCTAGGACCCTTATGGGTGGTTGTCAAAATTATGTTCCCTTTTTAGATCCTTATTATAATCCTGCACCGAGTAGTTAGAGTACCCCGAAATGGACCCTAAACCCTAAATCCTGAACCCTAAACCTTAAACCCTGAACCATAGATCCCTTGAAGGAACTGTTACTAGGATGCCCAGTAGTACCCTTGTTCCCTTTTTGTAGTCCTAGGTTCCTTATAAAGTTACCCAATACCAAAAAGAGAGGCCTTTTTATTCTTAGGTTACTGGGTATCCTAATATAGAGTCCTTCTTATATCCAGAAAACCCTATTATGGTTATCAAGGCCCCTATAACTATAGTACTGGTATCCACGTCTAGTTCACCAGCACGTCCAGATCCGCAGCTGTGGCAAAACGCCAAACCCCCCCTTGGGGCCGATGCCTTGAAACCTAAATCCTTGAACTCCAGGGTTTTGGGTTTAGGGTTTAGGGTTTAGGGTTTAGGGTTCAGGGTTTAGGGTCTAGGGTTTAGGGTCTAGGGTTTAGGGTTTAGGGTCTAGGGTTTAGGGTTTAGGGTTTAGGGTCTAGGGTTTAGGGTTTAAGGGTGAGGGATCAGAGTATAAGGTATATCCTTGCAGGCATCTACAAGCCCCATATGAAGAAGCTGTTTAGTTGTTCTAACAACATGTAGAACCCCGAACCTTTCAAATCCTTGCGCCCGCGCCCGAAACCTAAAACACCGGCCAAAACCCGAAACCTTAAACCCTTTGCCCTAAGCGCTGATCTCTCAACTTAGTAGTTGGGTTGATAAACTTTAAACTTTCTGCAATAATGAAACCCTGTCCAAACTCGGCAACTAAGTCAAAGCCCTAAACCTGAAGTCTTAAGGACCAGCTGACGTACCCCACGCGGGTCCCTGGGGGCTTGCAGGTGGAAGAGTTGAGGCGGTGGCTTCTTAGGGTTTAGGGTTTAGAGTTTAGGGTTTAGGGGAGGTTTAGAATTTAGGTTTTCGGGTTTGGGTTTAGGGTCTGGGCTTGGGGTTTGGGGTTTAGCTTTTAGGGGTTTAGGATTTAGGGGGGTTTAGGGGGGTTAAGGGGGGTTTAGGGGGGTTTAGGGGGGGTTTATTGGGGTTTAGGGGGGTTTAGGGGGGTTTAGGGGGGTTTAGGGGGGTTTAGGGGGTTTGGGGTTTAGGGGGTTTAGGGTTTTGGTTCAGCGTTTAGGTTTTAGGCGGTTTAGGGTTTAGGGGTGTAGGGTTTCGGAGGGTTTGTCGGGTTCTCTAAGATGGTTTTTTCAAATAGTCTTAAAAAGGGTTGCGTAAGAGGGCTTTGGGTTTGGCAGGATTTGGTGTTCTGCGCTGCAGGCTCTCGGGTCTGGGGAGAAAGTGGGGTGGGGTGTCGGGTTCTCTAACACCGGGTTTAGGGTTTAGGGTTTAGGGTTTTAGGGTTTAGGGTTTAGGATCTCGAAAGAGGTTGCATACGAGGGCTTCGGGTTTAGTAGGGTTCAGGACTCACAGAGGCATTGGGTTCCTCGAACACCGAGATCGCACAGCACGTCCTTGCTTGAGACTTACAACCCTGGGCCATCAACCTACGAAGTGAGTTTGTGCTTGGTGTGCTCTAAAGATGGACATTTTAATCATCAGTCACAATATTTCTGAGACTCCCAATACTGTGACAATACAAGCACCACCCAGCCGATTCGAGTCTAAGTCTTAACCCAGAGACTCCCATGTCCTTTCATTAGGGATCGAACCTGCTTTTATAGTAGACTCCCTAGTATGATTTACGGGTATATTCCTTAATTCAAGGATATTGGAATCCCCTGAACCCTACACCCTGTAGATCCCTTTAAAGGAACCCTCGTAGATCCCTCTAAGAAAACCCTATAAGCCCCTACTGGCTGTTGGGGTCTTGTTTGAGAGCGTCAGGAGCCCGAAACCTTAAAACCCAAATAACATCAACAGCTTCAAGACACCTCAAGGCGTAAGCCCTAACCCTTCCAACGCCTAAGACCCTATACCCGAACAGCTCAAAACCCTAAGCCCCCAACACCTGAAACCCCTAAGCCCTAAACCCTAAGCCCAAACACCTAGCTATAAGGGATCTACCTAGGGCTCCTGTAAACAATCTACCTTTGTCATAGTTGGGTAACATTTTACATGTTGATCTTAAACCCCATAAGGACCAACCATGAACTAGCTGCAAGGGATCTATAGGGTTTAGGTTCTGGGGCTTTAGGGTCTGGCCCAGGTCCCACACCCTAAACCCCAAGCCCTCAACCCTGAACCCTAATGTAGGGCTGTTAGGGCTTCCTCATTATACTTTTAGTATGATAGGCACCCAAGCCCTGTTCTAATTCTTGAGGCCCCTACATTAAATCCCAAACCTCCAAACCCCCTACATCCTAAACGTGCTCCGCAGCCATCTGGGTAGGCTATCAACGTAGTTTCTAGGCTCTTCTGTGACCATGGCGGCACAGTACGTCATCAAGCGCGATGGAACACATCAGGAGGCCTCTCCCCTTGAGTTTAGGGTCTGGGCTTTTAAGGTTCTAGGTTTTAGGGTTTAAGGCCTAGGGTTCAGGGTTCAGGGTTCAGGGTATAGGTTTAAAAGGGCTCAGGGTTATTAGGGTTTGAGTTCAGGGTGTGTACCTAAACCCTAAACCCTAAACCCTAAACCCTAAACCCTATAGGGTGCAGGATCCAGATCCGAGACCCTCGGGCCTGCAGAATTGCCACCCTCAATCCGCAAACTTGAACCCTGCAGTTTTGCTTCAAGGCTTTTTTTTACGATGGTTTAGGGTTTAGGGCTTGAGGTTTAGGGTTTAGGGTACCCCTACAACCACAAACCTTAAACCCTGAACCGCAGAACCCGAAGGCCGAACCACACCTTGAACCCTACTGTGACCCCAAACCCTACAAAATAGTAGGTTATGACCGCTTGATTAGAGGGTAGAACCCTTGAAACGGTAGGGTTTCGGATCCCCAGGTAGATCATAAGCCCTCAACCCAAAGCCAGCGCAGCTCTCTTGTGGCCTTAGAAATAGGATTCAGGGTTTTAGAGTTTTAAGCATGATGAGCCATGTGGATTAGTATACGGGTCTATTGGGGATACTAGGCAGACGTTTTAAGCCAACAGAACCTCCAAACCTCAAACTCTAAACCCTAAGACTTGGGTACCGCCCCCACACAGTAACAGTTGGATAATATTCATACTATAGATATAGTAGGACTTTCATAGTAGCCCTATTATAGTTGGTTACTGTATGGGACCCTAAACCCTAAACCCCAAACCCTAAACCCTAAACCCTAAACCCTAAACCCTAAAACCCCTGTCGGGAGCCCATGGACTGTAGGAAGTGAGAGCTGGCACCACTCCGACCTTAGCGGTTTAGGGTTCAGGGTTCAGGGTTTAGGGTTTAGGGTTCAGGGTTTAGGGCTTAGGGTTTAGGGTTGAGGGTTTAGCGCTTATCTCGAAGCCGTGAGGTGTTAAGGTCGTCAGCAGTTCCCAGAGACTCCAAAATCCCTTAATTAAGGAATATTCCTGAAATTCTAGCAGGATCTCCAATATGATTTAAGGATATTCCTGAACTAAGTGGTATTGGAGTTTGTGGGTTGACAAACCCTTAACCTCGTACCAGCTTGCAGGCGAAAAAAGGCCCATGAAGACATTCAAGTTCAACCCTAAACCCTAACCCTAAACCCTAAACCCTAAATTCTGGTAAATCAAAATCGACAGCATTCGAACCCTTCTTGTTAGGGCCCCCGTATGAGTTCAGCGCCAATTCTTGTTGCGGGGTGCCTGAAACGGGACTATGTCCTCCACGGCCCCTCTCTGAAAAGCAGTTTGTAACCAGCATGGCCATCAAACTAATCTCTGAAGTTGTTCACGGCTAAGGGCTTAGGCACCCTACCTGTGACCCCACGCCCTGCAAAATAGCAGGCTATGACCCCTCAATTAGAGGGTAGAGCCCTTAAAACGGTAGGGTTTCGGATCCGCAGGTAAACCCTAAACCCCAAACCCTCGAAGCCCTAAACCCTAAACCCCTAAACCTAGCACTTTGTTGTTTGCTGCAAAGGTGAAGTTCGACAACATCACGAAGCGAATTCAGGCCGGGAGCTGGAGTTCTGCTAAGGGTTTGGGGTTTTAGGGGTTTAGGGTTTAAGGGTTTAGGGTTTAGGGTTTAAGTGTTTAGGGTTTTAGGGTCTTTGGGTTTAAGGGCTTTAGGTTTTAAGGTTTAGGGTTTAGGGTTGGGGTTTAGGGGTGGAAAGCTCTCGGACTAAAGACCTGAAGAGCTCTGTTCAAGGGCGCTTCGGGTCATGTAAGGCAATCGGAGATCGGGGTGCCGGCAAGCGACTTGCAGCAGAGGCGTAGGCGGCTGTGGCTAGCCGGCCGCCGCATCAAGATTTTCAGCCATTCTGCTGATTTGCAGCTGGTGTTCAGATGCTGCTGTTCTCCGTTCTCAGCCTGAACGGGACGGGAAAGCAGACAGTCAAAAGACCAGGACCCTAACCCCTAAACCCCTGCACCCAAACCCCCCTCAACCCTAAACCCTAAACCCTAAACCCTAAACCCTAAAGCTCTTTTGGTGCCTGAGGCTAGCCGACTGTAGGCGCGGGTCATGTCAGAATGCGAAGCCTAGAGAGGGTTTAGGGGTTCAGGGTTTCAGGGGTTTAGGGGTGTAGTTTCTAGGGGTTCAGAGTTTCGGGGTTTCGAGGTCAATTAGGGGTTTAGGGTTAAGGGGTTTAGGGTTTGAAATTCTAGGGTTCTAGGGTTTAGGGGGCAGTTTTGGGGCTTAGGGGTTGGGGGTTCTGCAGCATCTCGCGACACTCGTCCCTAACTCTGGATGTAAGACCTGATCCAAAAAAGTCCGCCCGTTTTTACTATGTCGGTGGTACTGTTGATGGACAAAATCCTGCATGACTCTAAGGACTCTAAACTATGGGAACTATGGTATATTCCTTATAATGAGTAATGCAGGATTTTGTCCATCAGCAGTAGTATAGGGCCCCAAATTAGGGGATCTACTTTCTAGCCTAAGCTACGTCAACCTTCGGGTTTTGGTTTTGGGCTTCGAACGTCCCCTCTAACTGGGAGTTTCCGAAAATTCGGGGCATTTAGGGTACCATATTAGGGTCCCTTAATTTTCGGAAACTCCCAACTGGTCTAATTGGGCTTCGAACGTCGGTGGTATCAGGGGCGGCGGCCTTTCAGCATTCCAGGATCTCCTCGTATGGCTCATAGACATAGGGGTCCCTTAGGGTTCCTTTAAAGGGGGACTATAAGGGTACTATGAGGGTTCCTTTAAAGGAGGACTATAAGGGTACTATGAGGGTTCCTTTAAAGGGGGACTATAAGGGTACTATAAGGGTTCCTTTAAAGGGGCTACTATAAGGGTTTAGAGTTTCCGAAAATGAGGGGTACCTTGTTTTGGGGTCCTTATAGTAAGGAGCCTGCTATTTAGGGCACTATATTAAGGTCCCCTATTTTCGGAAACTCCCGTATGTATCCCGTGGTCGTGGTTAGAACGACTAGAGCATGAACGGCATTCTGGTCTTGGCCAGCCCTCAGGCTCCCCTAAACCCCAAAAGCTCTGAGCCCTAAATGCTCTAAGCGCTAGGCTCAAACGCCTGCGGCCAGGCTTTGTGTGACGGCTTAGACTCCGACTTTATCGACCCGGTGAGGATCACCATGAAGGTGGGTTTCTAGGATTCGGCCTTTGGGGGTTTAGGGTTTATTTGCACGGTTTTCGGTTTAGGGTTTAGTTTGCAGTGCTTCGGGTTCAGGGTGGGGCGTGAAGGTGCACCTATTACTTGTTGTTTTAGCGTCATAGGCTAGTTTGTAAGGTTCTTTCTGTATGGAAGTTCCCGAAAACAAAGCACTCTAATACATAGGGTCTTGAGAAACTGAAGCTGGTCGGAAAAGACCAAGTTCTCCGGATCTGAAACTGAAAATAAAACTCAAGCTGCCGCCTGATCTGAAACTGAAGCTCAAGGTGAAACTGCCCCCCCACCTCTTCTGCTCACGGCAGTCGTACCTGATCTGAAACTGCAACTGCAAACTGAAACTGAGACCTGGACCACTCTAAACCCTAAACCCTAAGCTCTGAACCCTCAACCCTGAACCGGAAACCCTAAACCCTGAACCCTGAACCCTAAACCCTGAACCCTGAACCCTAAACCCTAAACCCTGAACCCTAAACCGTGTTCTTCGACGCCCTCACATATCCCCATGATCCTTTTCTAAACGCCTCAGGAACCTTCAGACAATTGTTGCAGCGCCTTTCCAAAACCCTGATAGAGTCTGTTGCGGCCACCCTTGTGCAAACAAACACCACCTTGAACCCTCATTTTATGAGCCCTCCTCCTGTTCTTGCCTCCTCGAAACGGATAGTGTAGGGGCAAGAATCAGAACAGTCTTTTTGTTGGGTGGGGTATATTATAGTATACTCATGGATCTCATGCGCAATTTTTCAGACCACTTGATCATGCATCCTTTGTCCGATTTCAAGACAAAACTTGAAACCCTGAACCATGTAATGGTAGGATATCCGTTTGGCGGTTCTATCTTCTAAATCCTAAACCCTAAACCCTACACCCTAAACCCTAAACCCTAGTTCTATCTTCTAGATCCTAAACCCTACCCTACACCGTAAACCCTAAACCCTAGTTCTATCTTCTAGATCCTCTGAGGGCCTGGGACACGGATAGGTTCTCGACGGATTCCACAGTGGGATCGCCACGGCCCAGATCGATGAGCTAGCTGCCGAAGCTCGGCGGGATGAGGGGGCTTAGGGGCTTTACTTTGGGGTTGAGGGTTTTTGGGGTTTAGGGTTTAGGGGCTTTAGTTTGGGGTTTTGCGGTTTTGGGGTTAAGGATTTAGGGGCTTTAGTGTGGGGTTTTGGCATTTGGGGTTAAGGATTTACGGGCTCTAGTTCGGGGTATAGGTTTGGGATTTAGGGTTTGCGGCTTTCGGGGTGAAGGGCTTAGGGAATACGGGTTTGGGTTTTTGGGGTTGAGGGGTTGAGGGGTTTAGGGCCTTTCTTCAGGATTCTTTTAAGGCTGTAGGTTTAGGGATTTAAGATTATGGGGTTTTTGAGTTTGAGAAAACAGGGTTTTTTTGTGTAGACCATATTGCAACATAGGAGCTATACAGGGGCATTCGTTCACGGTCTAGGGGTTTGGGGTTCGGGTTTTCACGGTTTTCGGGTGTCGGTGGTTGTAGGGTTCGGGGTTGAGGGTTTAGGTTTAGTCTGTAGTGCATACTTCTGATTTGCAGTTTCTTCACAAGCCCCACAGTGCCTCCGGCCTTACACCGCCAAGCCTCTAGCTTTGAACTCCCAAAACCCAAAACCCTAAACCCTAAATCCTAAACCCTAAACCCTAAATCCTAAACCCTAAACCCCAAACCCTAAACCCTAAACCCTAAACCCTAAACCCTAAACCCTAAACCCTAAACCCTAAACCCTAAACCCTAAACCCTAAACCCCTCAGTCTCTCAGGTCTTGTGTCCCCGACCTTGAAGCCTTGAACCCTGAGCCCTAAACCCTTCATCCTGAGGAAAGGTGCGCTGTTTTTCAAAGCTCCCCGTCAGAGAAATGCCTTCCCACAGGTTATAAGGGTGCACTTTTATGAACCGCCTAAGCCCCAAACCCTAAACCCTAAACTCTACACCATGAACTTTATGAACCCCCAAGAGAACCACAAATCCGGTACAGAGCTTGAGTCCTCAGGAGACATGTGCATACATGTCCCAGAAGCATCCGGACTTCTCGATCCTGGCGGCGCGCATCGCGGCCCGGGCGCCCAGGATGGCCGTTGTTGAGGGTTCAGCGTATAGGGGCTTGGGGTTTACCTTGGGATCCCAAAACCTACGGTTTTAAGGGTTCTACCTTCTAATTAAGGGTTCATAACCTACTATTTTGTAGGGTTTGGGGATACAGGTAGGTCTTACTATAGAAGCCTGAATACGTAGTTGGTCCGAGTATTCCCAAAGCTTCCTTTCACAACTTGAGCATATATGCCCGCGAACCTTATTCCGATCATTAAGGCCCCTATTGTCAACCCCCACAGTACACGGTTTAGGGTTTAGGGTTTAGGGTTTAGGGTTTATTGTCGACTTCATATAGAGCCCTTCAAGCGAACCCTTATACGGAAGCCCTATTCTAGTTATGAAGGCGCTCAAGTGCTTTGACTTCAGGGACCCTTCGGCTTCGTAAGGCTTTTGCAGGGTTTGGGGTTTAGGGTTTAGGGTTTACGGAAAGGTCTTATGTTTTTAAGGTCTAGGGTTTCTTTAAGAGGCTTTCATAGGGTCTTCTGAGGGTTTTACAGGGCCCAGTGTTTTTTTTTAAAACTAGTTGCATTAGTTCCTGTGAAGGAGGCTCGAAGCTCGAGGCTTCTAAACCATATGGGTGGTTGTCAAAATTAGGGTCCCTTTTTGGGTACCCTAAATATTAGGTGCCGTACTGCTGTGAAATATGGACCCACACAGGGACCATAATCTTGACAACCACCCACATAGTACCATATGGAAACTTTCGAAGTACTATTTATTCAAGCGTCCACATTGGAGCTGGGTAGGGCTCTGACGGTGTTTCTAAACCCTAAACTGTAATCTCCTAAGCCGTGTTAATTGGACGAAGCACTTCGTTTGAGGATCCTTGGGGGTTACCCTAAACCCTAAACCCTAGGTTGTGGGCTTAAACAGGCTTAGATGAGGGTTTAGGTTTGAGGGTTTAGGGTTTAGGGTGTGGGAGCCCCAGTTTTTAGATCTTTGCAAACCCTAAACCCTAAACCCCTAAACCCTAAACCCCTAAACCCCTAAACCCCTAAACCCCTAAACCCCTAAACCCCTAAACCCCTAAACCCTAAACCCTAAACCCTAAACCCTAAACCCTAAACCCTCATACCCCACAAGTTTCCAGCCTGAGCCACAACACCTTCATACGGTGTGAACCGCAACTCTTCGAGGCCATCCCGAAATCCTCCCTGTGACCCCAAACCCTACAAAAAGGTTTAGGGTTTCGGGTTTAGGGGTTTAGGGTTTAGGGGTTTAGGGTTTAAGGGTGTATACCTGTGACCCCAAACCCTGCAAAATACCCCTTAATTAGAGGGTAGAACCCTTAAAGCGGTAGGGTTTTGGATCCCCAGATCATCCCTTGACGATGCTTACTGAAACTGATTTATCTAAACCATTACATCCCCCACGATTGATCTTTCTAACACCCTAACCCCCACGCCCTTAAAGTATTCTGCTGCAAGTGTGTCCCGACCTCTACATCTGATAAGCCGAACAACGTCTTCAGCATTTTAGCAAAGCCCTTAATTAAGGAATGTACCTTAAATCATAGTAGGATCCCTAATATGATTTAAGGTATCTTCCTTAATTATGGGATATTGGAGAAGGAACCCTTGAGGTATCCCTTAAAGGGAACCTCAGGGTATCCCTTGAAGGAGCCCTTAAAGCATCCTTTAAGGGTGCCTTTAAGGGATCCCTTAAAGGAGCCCCTATAGCTCGCTTTAAAGGAACCCTGTAGCTCCCTTTAAAGGAACCCCCCTAAACCCTAAACCCTAACCCTAACCCCTAAACCCTAAACCCTTCCCTAAACCCTAAACCCTAACCCCTAAACCCTAACCCCCAACCCCAAACCCGATCCCCGGAGCCTTATAGCTCCCTTTAAAGGCCCGGAGGTCTCGAACCCTTAAACCCTAAACCCTGACCCCTAAACCCCTAACAAACCCTAAACCCCTAACCCCAAAGCCCCCTAAACCCTAAATCCGCTAAACCCGATCCCCGGAGCCTTATAGCTCCCTTTAAAGGAACCCTTACAACTCCCTTTAAAGGGATCCCCTGGAGGTCTCGAACCCCCCTAAACCCTAAACCCTAACCCTAAACCCTGAACCCTTAAACCCCTGAAGCTCTAAACCCTAAACCCCAAACCCCCTAGACCCTAAACCCGAAACCCCAAACCCGATCCCTGGAGGTCTCGAACCTCCACAAGTGCACCTCCGACTCCTTCGCAGAGACCTGCCGGGCCCTGCACGAGTACAGGGACAAGCAGGCGCTTTGTTTGGGTTCCTCAAAGGGATCTATAGGGCTCCTTAAAGGGATCTATAGGGTTCCTTAAAGGGATCTATAGGGTTCCTTAAAGGGATCTATAGGGTTCCATAAAGGGATCTATAGGGTTCCTTAAAGGGATCTATAGGGTTCCTTAAAGGGATCTATAGGGCTCCTTAAAGGGATCTATAGGCCTCCTTAAAGGGATCTATAGGGCATTTTCGTGTAGTTACCTTGATTTTAGCCCTAGTTACTAAGTCCCATGAACCTCTAAGTAGTGGTTCATACGGTTCCTTTAAAGGGATCTATAGTTTTTTTTACAGTAGTTCGCTTGCCAGCCTCACGAGCCTCGAAGCATCCGCCAAGAAGGACGCAGAGCGTCACAGCAGCTGATTTGCTGAATTAGGAAAAGGCCATAACAAAGAGAAGAAACAACCGAGGGATTCAAGGAGGAAGGAAGTCCCAAGAGGGTGTGTAGTGGGCATTGGGGCGGCTCTTAGTCACAGAACTTCTATTCCAAACAGCAAGGCAATGGCTGATTAAGAAACCCCAAACGACCTCAGGGAACCGAAAATGCCTACGCGCACAAATGCCTGCAGCGTTACCGCCGGTCAAACATCTTAGATGGGAAATATTAGAAAGTCCTATCAATGAAACCCCGGCGGCCGACAACACTCTGACCGAATGATCTCTGAATCGCCGTGTCAGGAGGCTCAAGCGAACGTTTGGTTCTAGCAAGCCCTGTACACTCCCGAACTCAGCAACAAAGTCGTAAAGCAACTCCTGCCACGTGACTCTGCAGTCCGATACTTTGGGATCATTCGGAAAGTGCCATCTACACTGCGACCAAAACTCCAGCAAATTCTCACAAAAGCGCTTGTTCGGATGTTTGGCCCAACCGAAGTCTTGGACACCAGAAGCCGGCCCTGGTACCCAAGACTGCAATCTAGAATACACCACCCAATACGCTGGATATCGATGCCGCAGTGCTTGCCAAAGACTGTTAGAGACAGGCAAAGAAAGCCTAACATTGTCAAGAAAGGCTTGGTCAGTGGAGGAAGGGCCCTGACCCAAAGCACTCCGGCATTCTCCTAAACACCAGCTACGCTTAGTTCGGGTGCGGGTGAGCGGTGAGCAAGTGCAACATCTCTGTGGCGACCTATCAGACTTACCTTCGTCAAAAGGAATCTGAAGGAGGTTAAGGCGCCTACATAACGAGGCAACAAGATGAGTCTGCAGATCTAAACCAGAAGAGATGTCACTTACTAGCGCTGCACGCTTTAAGCTGCACAGTTTGCGGGCTTCGGTTTTCGCGAGCTTGTCAACTGCTTCGTTGTGTTTTGTGAACCAAGGCTCTTGAGAAGATGTCGACAGGACGTGGGCCTTTACCTTCCTTATAGAAACAAGATCGTGCCTACCATGGACAGCTGTTGACACAGCATTCCACAAGTCAGCGTTGTCAAGCTTGCTGATCAAGGCCTTATCCCATTTATGGCGGTTTAGCCACCGAAAGGTGTTCACTACATATGCGCAATCGGAGACTATGCACAAGTTACCCTCAGACAACACCAAGGCTAAATACACGGCATGAATCTCGGCACGCGTAGAGGAATGATCGGATCCAGGGGTAACTTCTGCATAGTGTGTCATGCCGGGAAACACTACAGCTGCTGCGGAGCTTCTTAGCGGGGCCCATTTGTCAAAGAAGCACGAACCATCAGTAAACGCAAACTCGGCATTCACCGGCTCAAAAGGCATTTGCTCTAACGAGCTCTGCGCATGGTCGTGCTGACGGATCTCACGCGTTTGTCGAGACTCGAAAAGGACCCCGGTATTCCAAGAGACCTGTGAAAACTCCTCGCTTGGCCGCGTAGACTCGTAGAATGGGCACTCTTGAAAAATATGCTTATGATTCTCGCAGCAACCGCAGTGTAAGCAAGAATTACTTGTACACATTCCTGCTGCGCACCTTCTAACGTTCGTGTACACAGAGCCCTGAAGCAAAACCCGCAAAATAGCACATGTAAGCGAATGGTTGGGAAGTCGTTCAAAGAATGGACGCAAGTGCGACCACTCATCATCTGCAGAGAAGTTTGCGTCGATCAGCATTCTAGTTCTATAAATATCAATGTTTTCATGGGTGGGTTCCGAAAAGTCCTGTCGGCAAGGGATTTTGTGGAGGAGACACTGCCGAACTGATCTCGCAACCTCTTCCTTGAAAAAACGGTGACTGAAGAGTTTGAGCTGCAAAGGTGTGTCATCCTTGCGCTTCAACATAGATGGGTTATTTTCGCAAATCTCGATGTCTAATTCCCTGCACAAGTAAGCAATGACATTATGTCTGCCGGCCCTGGTTGCTGGAAGCTTTCGGGTCGATGTTTTGAGAATTTCGCGAGCTTTCTCCAAGTCCTTTATCGCGACGAGACTGTCTTGCAAAAGCTCTTTACGAAGTGACGAAAACACGTGAAGGACCCAAGCACCAAAGGGATCGACAAAGACGTCGTGACATGTTGCTGAATATGCAAAAGTACTCCTCATCAAGTTTTTAGTCTTCGAAAGACATGACACCACAGCTTTTCGCAAGCGGCTCATGTCATGCAGCGTTGGTGGCTGGACTTCTGTGCCAAATAGCCACTTCGAATGCGCGTTACAGTGTAAGTGCAAAGACTTGTCACGCTCAGCAACGGGGAGACGGCCTATTTTTTTGATAACCGGTATGGCTTTATCAACTCTTGCGGACTGTAGCTTAGCAGACGGGCGCCTGGATGCTCGCTGTGCAAAACCGAGAGACTTACACCCATGCTTGGTATGAAAGGGCTGTTTAACATCACGCACGAACCGAGATGCTTTCTTTTTAAAACGGGACATGACAGCGGTCTTACCAACATTTAGCACCTGACCCACTGCGGTATCAAAAGACTGTATCTCATGCAAGGCTTCTTGGAGCTTACCATGATGTTGTTCTGAAGACCATACCTTGCAATCGTCAATGAAATTCGCAAGAGAAACCGAAGGAGACACGATGCTGATATGATGAGCTAAAACCGAAAACATGCTGTTCACCATGATGATTGACATACTGCATCCTTGGACTGCCGCGTTGGTGGACATTACACTGTTCCCGAAGTATGGTCCAAGCTTGAAGAATTTGACTTGCCTACAGTAGAAACCCTGCACGGCTGAAACAATTTGCTTGGGCAGCCCCAGATCGGATGCAATGGACAAGGCTAAATCTGGAATTATGAGGTCGAAGCACTTCCATCGGTCTATGAAGACTGACATATGGTCATCAAGATGTTCATGAAGATCCTGGGCGAATAAGAGTTCACTATCTTGGGCCTTACGGCCTGGCAGGCCACCATACAAAGTAGCGGGTGTGATGCTTAAGTGCCAATGAGAAAGCTGTCGGAATCTAAGAGATGACCAAACACTGTAGACGACAGAAGACACTCCTATTGCCCTCGTAACTTCAGGCGAAGCATTCCCTAGCCCTTTGGAGATTGAGGATACAGCCACCGTCTTGACAACTTGAGGCCATTCTCCGATGCACTCGGCAATCTTCATGACGATGACGAAACCCTTCCAACCCACTGGTGGCAAATGCTTAAGTTCCCGTGTAAGCCAACCATCCAAACCACCTGCCTTACAATCCGGTCTCCGCTGAAGCAACCTGAATATGTCGATGTGGCACAGCTCAGGGATTTCACAACTAGAGCGCAAAGAGCTAATGGATGACTGATACTTGTCCCGAAAACTAGCAATCATGCTACAAACATCTTTGTCTTTATGGAAGTTGTAGATAGCCGACATATGGGAAGACAACATTGACAACATTTCATTTGGGTCGCACGTGAAACCGTCACTGGTCTTAAACGCCTTAGGCAAGGGATCTATAGGGCTTCCTTTAAGGGGGTTTTAGGGTTTAGGGTTTAACGGTCTAAGGTTTCGGGTTTAGGGTTTAAGGTAAAAAGTTTCGAGTTTAGGGTTTGGGGTGTAAGGTTTGGGGTTTAGGGTCTATGGTTTGAGGTTTACGGTTCAGGGCTCAGGGCCCTTCCCTTTCTTCTAAGGAACCCCTTTTAAAGGAATCGGAGACCCTGTGCTCTTGAAGGAACCCTGAATCCCAAGCAATAAACCCCTGATAGGACCCAGAGACTCCAATATCCCTCAATTAAGGAATTTTATTGAAGTCAATCCAGGGATCTTGCGGTATACTGCTTAATTAAGGGATATTGGAGTCTGAGGGTTCAAGCGTTCTTAATTAAGGGATATTGGAGTCTGAGGGTTCAAGCGTTCCCGTTACCCTAGGAGGGTTTAAGGGTTTAGGGTTTCAAGGATCTTTTAAAGGTCCCTTGAAGGGTTCCTTCTATCGGTTCCTCTTAAGGGTTCCTCTCAGGGTTCCTTTCGGGGTTTGAGTAGGGATCTGTAGGGATCAGGGGCGTTTACGGTTTACGGTTTAGGGCTCCTTCAATATAAGGCATACGCAAAGGGCTCCTTTGAGGGATACCCTATGGGTTTGCAGGGGCTCTTGTTCAGGGATCCACAAGAGTTTTTTTTTGGGTTTTATAATCTAGGGTTAAAGGTCCAGGAGTTAAGGTTTGTTTTTTTTTCAGAGCTTTTGTCATGTAGTTTTATTGTTTAACGGTTTCTTCGTGAAGTGGTCTAGAGTTTTCCGAGGTTCGTGTATATGGATTGGTAGATTTAGTTTCAAGTTTTTGCATGTGTGTGTGGGTGTGTGTTTGTTAAACTGTACCTCGTAGCATTTCGTAGAGTTTTACAGGCTCTTGGGGTTTTACATGTGTCTATTCTGTAGATAGGGGCTTTGTGGATTTCAGGGTTTAGGGCTTGTGCCAATGACTTCTACCGGGTTGAATAGAGTGACGATGGTGTCTGATTTATTCACGGTTACGTTCGGCTTTCAGCGCTTGGGGTTTCGGAAACCCGAAACCCCTAAATCCTTTAGGATAGGATCCCAGGGTGCAGAGGCCTGGATGACCAGCCCTAAACCCTAAACCCAACTTTCCTACCTAGCGGTCGCTGCGTTTTTAAGGCCTTTTCTGTCACTGTCAGCCCGTTCAGGGTTCAGAGTTTCGGCCGCACACGTCTTTAGCCCCAAGATACTTGGAGGGTCGGGGGACTTAGTAAGTAGGTGGTGAATAGACTTCTAAGTACCCTAAGACCTTCCCTTAACTGGGGTTATGGTACTGTTAAGTCCTCAAAATAACCAATTACTAAGTCCCCCGACCCTCCAAGTAGGCTCGTCGGGAGGCCTTCCTGGGCATAGAATCACGCAAACTGAGTGAGCACGCCTCTGACGGCCAAGCTACCACGTCATAAGGTACCCAGAGCCCCAGAAGCATCTTGAAATAAGATCCACTAATCTGGCACTCTGTACTCCCAAATTCACGACTAGGATCTCCAGTAGTACCCTTATTCCCTTTTTGTAGTCCTAGGTTCCTTATAAAGTTACCCAATACCAAAAAGAGAGGCCTTTTTATTCCTAGGTTACTGGGTATCCTAGACGAAGGGTGCTTTGGAGGAACCCCGTTACGGGATCTACTTTTGGGCCTCTGAAACGCCTGTGTCCTGAACCCAGAACCCCTGAACCCTAAGCTCGGAACCCCTAAGCCTGTAAACCCCTAAACCCTGAACGGCTAGACCCTAAGCCTCTAAACCTCTCAACCTGTAAACCTTAAGCTTTAAACCTCTGGACCCTAAACCCCTAGACACTAAACCCCTAGACCCTAAACCCGCTCCTAAACCCTGAACCCTCAACCCTCAATACATCCCTCGATCCTGAACCCAACATGCTCCTCTTCCCGAACCCTCAGATCCCAAAGTCCGCCAGATCCCCATCCTTATAAAAGACCCATAGAAGCAGCAAACAGCCCTAAGAAGGTAGGTTCCTTGGGGTTTAGGGTTTATCGTTTAGGGTTTAGGGATAGAAGGAGTATGAAGCCTTAAGAAGGGTAGGTTTGTAAGAAGGGTAGGTCTGTCAGGGTTTAGGGTTTAGGGATGGACGGAGTCAGGTGGTTTCTGAGTGTCTAAGTATACCTTAGAAGGGGCCCCCACCCTGTAATAGTGACTGTAAGATTATATTATGGCCCTATTATATTCCTATTATACCACTATTACAGGGTGGGGGCCCCTTCTAAAATATACCCTAGATCTCAAACAAGCATAGAGAACGCAGGGCCGACAGGCATCGCTGATTTCTGAGGAGGTGGTCGAGTGGCCGCACTTGTTCTGTACGGGCTTCATAACTTCATAGGATCGCAGTTCTTTGGTTGTTGACGGGGTTTAGGATTTAGGATCAAAGGTCGTCGCCGGCGGAGTTCTTCGGTTTTTACGGGGTTCTACGAGGATTTACATCGGGAGGACAAAGTTCGGACAAAGGTTGTGATCTGGCCCTTCTTGTCTAAAGACGTCTTGCGGAGTAACGGAGTGGCGAAAAATTCGATTTACGTGGACTGGCCGGCGGGTTTTTGTTTAATACACCGTTTTAAAATGATGCTACTTTAATGTTCCGGAGGGTCCTGTTTGTTACGATTTTCTGGGTAATGGGGGCCTGTGTTCGACGAACCAACGAGTGGGTCAAACTTTCGTTCTCAAATATTAGGATTTTAGTAGGGCTGCTGCAGGGTTCTAACTAGGACCCAGAGTAGGCCCTTATTCCCTTTTTTGAGGCTTAGGTTCCCTTATAAACCCCTTTAAACCAAAAAGGGCACCCTTTTTATTCTCAGGTTACTCTTAGGTCGAGCTAAAGTTTGTTTCTGTTTTGCCTATATCGTTGCATATAATGTAATTGCAATACCTCAGAACCTGATAGTAATTATCACGGCCACCAAATCGCCCGAAGGAGTCATGAGATGAGAGTTTCAGAATATGCGAGACCCAAGTATAGAACTCTAAGAAAGTAGTCTTCAGGGTGATGAGTGCTTACCATTGTTCCTTTTGGGCCCTGACTATGTTGATACAAACTTGAAACTCCATAACCCCTAATTGTTTACATCTTCGTAGGATCCTTCGTGATGAGTTCCCTGAGAGCAACCTTCCTGGCACTGGCAATGTGCATGCTTTTGTTTGAATTCTGTGGCTGTAACCGCACAGTTCAGGGTTGTCAGCGTTGTCAATGTCTCGTGTTTGGTTTGAAGGTTCAAAATTTAAAGTATCCGCAAGCAGAACTTGTCAGAAAAAACAGTGACATTGATGATAGGAAGCCCAACACAGTACGACCAGTCACGATCGTGGCCGAGGTAGTGCAATAAATAGCAGTCACAATGCTTGTTGGAGGGATGGCAGTACCAATAAGCACAATGCACACATGCATGGGAACACACGTAAAACCTGATATTAGCATCGGCCAGAAATTGTATGACAAAGCCAGAGCGAGACATGAAACTTTCACTGCTGAATACCAGGCCCAAAGCTGCAACACTAAACAACCCCTAGGTTCCCCAGTAATACGACACTTCACAGGGACCCTTAGGTGGCGGGGGAGGAAGGGGGTGGGGGACTATACTTCCTTAAAAAAGCCATATTAAGTCCTTATTTTTGTTATTAAGGCCCCTTACCCCCCCCCCCTCTCCCTACCCCCCTAAGGGTCCCGAAACCCTAAAACCCTAAAACCCTAAACCCTAAACCCCTAAACCCCTAAACCCTAAACCCGAAACCCCTATATAAACCTTAAACCCCTAAACCCAAAACCCTAAACCCCTAAAAAATCCTACTGCGACTGCACTCGTGGTTGCATTCCCCTCAAGGCAAGCTGCTGGTTTTTGCTCAAGAATCCGGGAGGCCCCGAGTTTTGGGCTTGCGCTCGCTGAAGTGACCGCTACAAAGGGAGGGACCTCGCCGAGGTACCTCTTTGTCAAGAAACCCGGGGAGCGGGCATGCTGACTTATCTTCAAGTCACACACCTCATCGCGAAAGCAATGGAGAATTTCCCTGTGGCTGAGTTGATCTGCAAGCATGAGGATCTGTCGATCCTGGCTCCAGGCCACAGGTTTCCTGCTCTTGTCATCGCGGAGTCGGCCCCCGAGGTGGGTGAGGACACCCTGGTACCTCGCAGCGGCGACCTTGGATCTTGAAGTCCCCTAAACCCAAAACCCCTAAATCCCTAAACCCTAAACCCTAAAACCGTTAAATCCCTAAACCCAACCTTCTAAACCCCAAACCCTAACCTTGAAAATGATCCTTACTCTAATTCCCGGGGTGCTTGTCTTAGGCGAAGTTCGTCCGCGAAAAGGCAGGGGAGCTCGATGAAGCGATAGCTTCCTGGCATCCTAGCGATCTGAGGGCTCCATTAATTGATCCTTCAAGGGTTCCTTCAAAGGGCTCCTTGAAAGGTTCCGGGTACTTTAAGTGTTCCTTTAAGTGTTCCTTGAAGGGATCTATGAGGATTTCGGGCTTAGGTTGTAAGGTCAAGCTACCTGTGGGTCCAGAAACCTACAGAAACCTACTATGTAAAGCGTTGCATCCCATAGCGGTTCTGCCTACTTTTTTTGTAAGGTTGCGGGCTGTTGGTACTTGTTATGATCACGGTCAATTTGCTGCTGTTGTTACTAGTGTCTATTCTTCATTATCAAAACGGTTACGGTTTCTGTTACTCATCACCTGCACGACGACGACGACATCTGGTGGTATTACAACTGCTGCGTGGATAATTATGCCTTCCTGGTTGCAATATAACACTGTCCGTTCGTTTTAGTTGTGCGCTTTTGTATATGGGTAGTTGTCAAAATTATGGCCCTTTTTGGGTACACTAAAGATTAGGTGCAGTTTTTTATGCGGACCCAAAAAGGGACCATAAATGTGACAACCACCCATATCTGGTTTTCAGTTTCATTACGACTGTTACCATCATCATGACTACCCTTATCTATTATTATTGTTGTTGTTATTACTGTTGCTAGCATGAGTGGTGGTCGTGGCAGCAGCAGCAGCAGCAGCAGCAGCAGCAGCAGCAGCAGCAGGAGGAGGAGGAGGAGGAGGAGGAGGAGGAGGAGGAGGAGGAGGAGGAGGAGGAGGAGGAGGAGGAGGAGGAGGAGGAGTAGTAGTAGTAGTAATAGTAGTAGTAGTCGTCGTCGTCGTCGTCCTCGTGTAGGACTAGCAGTCGTCGCACTAGTCGTAGTAGCCGTAGTAGTCGCGGCATTGGAAGCATGTACATATGTACGTATATCTATGTACGTACGTATGTATGTACGTATCCACACGCGTGCAAATCTGTAACCTAAACCTCATCACAAGAGCCGAAATCCTAGACCCTCTTCAGTTCAAGGTTTCTGGAGCAGCAGAGACCCTAAATCCCTAAACCTTGGGTACGGCCCCCGCTCAGTAATAGTTGAATAATATCCATAATATAGATATAGTAGGACCTTAATAGTAGCCCTATTATAGACTCTTACTGTATGGGGGCCGTACCTAACCTAAACCCCAGAAGTTCCAGTTTCAAACCCCTCGACCCGGAAGTCACTACCCGGAAGTCACTACTTTTCCCATCTCCCTAAATCCTAGACACGAAATCCGGAACCTGAAACCCTAAATCCTAACTCCTGAACCATAAACCCTAAAACCCCCAGCTCTTACAGAACTCACTCATTCAAGGAATCCTTATAGGAACCCTACCCCAAACCGTACACCTAAACCCTAAACCCCAGACCCTAAACCCTAAACCCCAAACTCCACCTAAACCCTGAACCCTGAACCCCAGACCCTAAACCCTAAACCCCAAACTCCACCTAAACCCTGAACCCTGAACCCCAGACCCTAAACCCTAAACCCCAATCCCCAATCTCTACACGCGGAAACCCGGAGCCTGAGGTTTACAAGCGCGACTATGACTATGCAGCTTGGCTGGTCGAGCCGAATGATAGGGTTTAGGGTTTAGGGTTTAGGGGCGGATCCCTCTGAACCAGAATTTCACGGTTGCGGTTTCGGGTTGAGAATTTAGGGCTTCCCAGACCTCTGGGAGGATCTACAAACTAGTTCCCCTAATGTTGGGCCCTATGCTACTAAGGGGACTTTATAGTAAACCCCCGTTAAGGGATCTACTTGTTGGATCCTCCCCGAATCTGGGTTAGGGTTTAGGGTTTGGGGTCCTCAGAATCACTAGATGTTGGTAGTCATATTACCCTATAGTCCCTGTATAGCTAGAGAGTACTATAGTCACTACATCATGCATGGCTTTTGCAGTCGACCCACCCCACGGGTTTAGAGTGTGGTTAAGGTGTGGGGGGTGCAGCGTTAAGAGTTTAGGCTTTGCAAGCATCCCAAACAACTGAAACACACAGAGCTCCGAACCCCTTTAAAAGGAACATAACATAGGTTAACCGGTTAACCCATAATATATAAGGCTCCTACAACTTGAGCTATACACCTTAATGAAGGGGTATGGGTCTCTTCTCCGGGAGGACTATTTCGGCTTCAAGACCTTGGAGAAGTCATACCTGCACGGCACCCAGTGAATTCTTCCACATCTTGAGGGTTTCAGTTTCTAGAGGTTCTAGGTATCCAATCCTACGTCCCAAAACCCTATAAGCCCTAAACCCTAATCCAAAAACCGGGAACCTCTAGATCTAGGTACGAGCACGCGCAAGAGGGCCCTTCTTTGCTCGAAGGGTTTCGGGTTTAGGGTTGTTCGGGCTGTAGGCGGTCATAAATCCTATGAGGATCACGTACTTAGATTCGACCGGCGACCTCGAACTAAGCTAGAACTAGGTGCGGATGCGCCAGAGATCTACATGTCCAGAACCATTGTGTGTCTGTGCTGCTAGAAGTGACGGATGAATCCGTAGATCCCGCCCAATTCCACGGCAAGAATTTGGAGCGGCAAGGCGTAAGTGCGCTTCGTGGCGTCAAACCTACTTTCGTATGACTGGGAGTTTCAGAAAATGAGGGACCCAATTGACCCAATTGGAGCAGAGCGAATGTCGAATCGGGGTACTCCGCAATGGACGTCCTGTCAGTTTCACACCACTGCCTGCTAGCTGAACCTTGAAACCCTACTAGCTGAACCTTGAAACCCGAAGCTCCTAAATTGGAACGCTAAACTCTCAACAAGGTATCCCGAACCGCATGCACAGAAGCTCAAACACCTTAGCCCAAACCCTAACAGCCGAAACACTGCAGAAGCATACTGCACCACATCGGTGCTAAGTGCCGCGGAGCTGCCTGGCCATCGCTTGGCACAAGTCCATACTTGAAGGTTCATGGATTCATGGGACATAGTACGTAGGTACAGTTAGAAGTGCTTTAACTGGGGTTGTAAGTGGTTGCAAGTCTGCTTACTTGTTAATAACCCTAATTACGAAGTCTCATGAGCCTCCAAGAAGGCCTCTGGAAACTCTCGAGATCATAAAGTGTACTGCAGGTCCTGCAAAGGTGTCAGGTGGTTTAGGGTTTATAGGGGTTCAGGGTTTAGGGTCAACAGGTTTTATCAGGCGATCCGTTGATGCATTACAGAAGCTGCTGCGGACCCGAACAAACCTTTTCGAATGCGAAACCCTAACCTAAACCGTAAAGCCGAAAACGCGAACAGTAAACCCCCAACCCAATCAACACATCGAGAGCCCGACACGTAAAACCCCATGATCCCTCGATTCCAAGCCGTTGAAAACCTTCAGGCCTAAACCCAAAACCGAAACCGTCAGCCCCAAAACCCCTAAAACCAAGCTAAAACAGAAAGCCCTAGCGCGAAAGCCATAGACAAAGGCTCAGGGTTCATGGGCGAATCGTCGAAAGGCCTCAGCACCTTCTCATGAGGGCCTCCCGGCCGCAACTTGAGGGGCTTAGTGTAGGAGCCTGATTAAGAAACCCTGGCCCTAAAAACCCCCAATACACTAGGATTCATATAAGGAACCCTAACAAAGGCCCAAGGTTTCTGAATCAGGTTCCTACATTACCCTAAACCCCTGAACCCTAAACCCCTAAACCCCTAAACCCTACAAAGTGGGCTTCTGATCTCCCCTGAGGAACCCTAATGAAGGCCCAAGGTTCTTTAAACCTTAAGTCCCAAACCCCCAAAAACCGTGAACCCGAAACCCAAAAAACATAAACCCCAAACCCCTAAACCATAAACTCCCGAACCCCGAAACCATAAACCATAAGCCTTAGCCTCTAACCCCAAAACCATTAAAACAAACCCAACACCCGGGTTTCCGGCTTCCCTAAACCCTAAACCCTAAACCCTAAACCCTAAACCCTAAACCCTAAACCCTACTATTAGAGTTGAGGGCCCAGACCTTCCAACAGAAGCCAGAACCCAGGGGACTCCTAGGGTTCCCTTAAAGGGATCTAGCTAGGGTTAGGGTTCCTTTAAAGGGATCTAGCTAGGGTTAGGGTTCCTTTAAAGGGATCTAGCTAGGGTTAGGGTTCCCTTAAAGGGATCTAGGGTTCCTTTCAGGGATCCTGTAAGGGATCTTTAGGGTTTAGTTTAGGGTTTAGGGGACTCCAATATCCCTTGATCAAGGGATATACGCTACATGATAGTAGGGACCCCAGTCTAGCTTAGGGCATATTCCTTACGTAATTAAGGGATTTTGGAAGGTCTGGGTAGATGCAAAGAACAGAAACTCAAAACCCTAGACACCCAAATCCCAAAACCCCTTAATCTGAAAGCCGTAAGCGCCACAGCCCTAGAATCGTCGACCCTAAACACCCTCCCTAAACGCGAAACCCCAAAAAGCAAAACTGGAAATCATCAGGCAACAATGCTACAAGCCTGAACCCCAAAGCCAAAAGCCCGAAAGCCGAACAACCGAGAATCCCTTTCCTTATGAAGCTTAGCAGTAGTGTGAGTAACCCTTAGTTTGCTTGGGGTACTACAACACATACGAGACCTGCAGGGTTAAAAGTTCGATTCCCACTCCTTAAACTCCAAATCCGAAAATTTAGTACCAAAACACACGCTTCCGGTGCCGCCAAAACCTGTGAGTTTGTCAAGACATGCGAGGTTTGAAACCGCTCATAGAGAACTTTGGGATAGAGTGCAGCCTTTTGCTGCCGAAGCGATATGATCTGCACCTTTGAGGCAGGTCAGCTCGGGGCGCGCAGCTTTGTCGGCCCGCTGATTCAGCCACCAGACGGACATCCTCCGAATCCGGTAAAAAGATGTCTTCAAAGTGGTGGCGCCTCCACGACAAGCTGGTCCGGAAGGCAGCGAAGCAGCCTGCCAACTACCCGTGACTACCCTAAACCCCTAAATCCCTACACCCCTATATCTTAAACCCTAAATCCTAAACCCCTAAACCCTAAATCCCAAGCCTTAAACCCGAAATCCTAAACCCCTAAACCCTAAATCCCAAACCTCTACACCCTAAACTGCTCTGTTGAAGGTTGCGGGGAGTGTTGGGCACGGCGCGACTCCAATTATTAATTAAGGAATATACAAGGGTTCCTTGAAGGGTTCCTACGCATTGAACAAGTTCTACGATGCAGCACCTCCTTGGGCTCGGCGATCGCCTAACTACTGCGCCTAAGGCCTAAACCCGCGCCGTCATAGTTCTCGAAATTTGGGGGTCCGTTTGTTGTAGAGAACTCCGGACACATTTTCCCGCGGCGCAGCAAGCCAGTCGGCAGCATCTGGCACTCCTAAAAGAATCAACCTTGAACCCTCAATTCGAAACCCTAAACCTAAATCCTAAACCTTAAACCCTAAACCCTAAATCCTAAACCTTAAACCCTCAGCCCTAAACCCTAAACCCAGACCCCTGAGCAGCTCAGGTTGCCTGTGGCATCCACTGTGGAGCCTCGCCTCTGATCTGTTGGGCCATTCTGAGGGCTCCCATAAAGGGCTCTATACAACTGTACTTGAAGCGTTTCTTGTTGGTCCGATAAATTCAGGGTTCTATACTGCTACAATCTGACGGTTCGTAAGGGTTCTTTGCTGCTGTACCATAGGGGACTGATATTGGTCCTACAAGGGTTCTATACCACTATACTATAACTAGGACCTAGAGTAGGCCCTTATTCCATTTTTTTTGTTGGGTTCAGGCTCCCTTTTCAGCCCCTTTAAACCAAAAAGGATACCCGTTTTGTTCCTGGCTTACTCTTGGGCCTCGATAATATAAGGGTCTCATCATATCATAGTCGTCCTAAGAGGTCGCTATCATCGGTTTAGGGTTTAGGGTTTAGCCCTAAACCGTTTATTGTAAGGGTTCTGGAAACTTAAGCGACTTATAACTGTACGCCCCCTAAACCCTGAACCCGAAACCCCCGGGATCATCTAGAAAGTAGATCCCCTAATTTGGGGCTCTATACTACTAAGGGTACTGTATAGGAACCCCCATTAAGGGATCTACTTTCTGGGGCCTGGGTAAACCCGAAACCACTAAACCCTAAAACCTACGTTACTTGCTACTTATGTACTAAGTCCTATGATCCTTTAAGTAGGATGTGGGACTTGGGCAGTTCCAGGTTTTGGGACTTGGGAAGTTCCGGGTTTGAAATTTGAGGTATGTTTCTTTTGGTGGTTTACGGATTTGGAGGTTAAAGGTGTAGGGTTCAGGGCTCAGGGTTTAGATTTGGGGGTTTAGCGTTCAGTTGGTTTGTGTCGCTTTTCGTCGGGGTTCGCAAGTACTTTGAAGCCTTGGCCAAGCAGTAGATATGCCAGACCTACAAGGATCCCGGCCCTAAACCCTAAACCCTGCATGTGGCCGCGTTATCTTTCCCTCCCTGAACCACGCTGTCGTCGGGAAAAAGGAGCACGGCGTAGACTACTACCCAGACCCCCGGGAGGATCTAGAAAGTAGATCCCCTAATTCGGGGCCCTATACTACTAAGGGGTACTTTATAGGAACCCTCATTAAGGGATCTGCTTTTTGGATCCTCCCGGGGGTCTGGGTAACTACCGTCCTTGTAATTCCGGTTATTTGGATTCCATAGCCGTAAACCCTAAACACCAGACCCTAAACCCCAAACCCTTAAGGATCTTAGTTTTGGGTGCTGACCAGGCCCAAAGACTCCAGTATCCCATTTCAGGAATATTCCTTAAATCATATTCGGGATCCTATTACAATCTAAGGTATATTCCTGAGTGAAGGGATATTGGAGTGTCTGGGATAGGGTCTGAGAAACTAGCGGCAGTTGTCCTTTACTGTCTCTACATAAGTGTGGTATAGTACAAACCCTGTTAGTAACCCTTTACGGTTTCGCGTTTAGAACCCTGCGAAGGAACCCTATTATTCTGATTGTGAAGGCCCCCTGTTTTAATCATAACTCAAATGCTCAGAAGCTCAGGAAACGTGGAGAAAGCCATCGAGACGTACGATCTGATGTCTCGAAGGCTGGCTTCGAGCTGAACCCTAAACCCTAAAGACCCTAAGCTGAAACCCTGAAACGGCCATGGTGGTGAGGATGATGAACACTAAAGATGATATGGACGACGATGATGATGACGACGACAAATCGCCTTGAGTCTTTCATAAGGACCCTTAGGGGGGTAGGGGGGAGGTCCTGAAATAGGCCTTATTAAGTTCTTATTTTGGGCATTTAGGCCCCCTACCCCCCCCCTACCCTCTAAGGGTCCTTATGAGTCTTTTGTAGGGTTGCATAGATCAAAGGGGAAAAGGAGGGACCCTTAATGGGGACCCCTACCCTATAATGGGGCTATATAGGGTAAAGGGTATATACCTAGGGGTCTTTATTAAGGGCCCTCCTTTTTACCTTGGATTGTAGGATCTCCAAACGGGGACGTTGCTAGGGTTGATGGTCTGGGGACAGTTTTAGGGGCTCCTTTAGCGGGATCTGTAAGGGTTCCTTTAAGGCTCCCTATAATGGATCTTTGGGGTTTTGGGTTTCCCTCCTTTTACCCTTGGAATAGACGCTCCAAAGGATGGTGTTTTAGTCGGAATTCCAGGGCCGTCGTGGGCACGGGGCGTGTTGTGAAAGGCTCGGCCCCTTTGGCCTTAAGCCCTAAGCCCTACACACTGAACCCTAAACCCTAAACCCTAAGCCCTAAACACTTAACCCTAAACCCTAAACCGTAAACCTTAAGCACTTAATTAAGCCTAACCCGTTTCAGGTGCAGGGCAGCGTGTGTATAGCAACCCCCCTCTAATTACGAATCGGGGATTCGGCTTCATCATAAATTGTCGTGCGGTTGTTTCGGGTTTAGGGTTAGGGGGCTGAGAGGTTTGGGGGTTTAGTTTTTTGGCGGGGTTTGGAGGGATTGGGGGTTTCGGGGTTCAGGGGTGTAGCGTTTTGGGCTTAGGGACTTAGGGCTCTGACCCTCCGACTCAGAGCCTAGGATTTAGGGTTTCAGGGTTTAGGGGTTCCTTTGAAGGGATCGACAAGGGTTCCTTTAAGGGATCTTTAGGGTTCAGGATTTAGGGTTTCTATCTGGCTTGACTGCAGGGGCCGTAGGGTTTATCGGGTTTAGACTTTCGGGCCTGTCGTGCGCTTTCAGAGATTTAGGGTTGGACGCTTATCCTATGACCTAGAGTAGGCCCTTATACCCTTTTTTTAGGGTTCAGGTCCCTTTTCTTAGGGTTCAGGTCCCTTACAACCCCCTCTTGAACCGAAAAGGGCACCCTCTTAGGTCTGGGCTTATCTGGCCTTGACCTTTGGTGGTTTAGGGTTTTGGGCCTGTGTGGCTTTGCCGTAGAGCTTACCTTAGATCCCCAATACCTAACCTTTAAACTTTTTGGGTTCTTATAGTTCTTATAGTTTAGAGTAGGAATCGGAAAGTTTGACCTTTTATTTCTGTGGCTTATTGGCGTCGTAAGTTACAGCGTGTTCCAAATGATATCAGCGTACATATTCCGCAACATCCGTATCCTAAACTCATAAGCCCCGAACCCCCACCCGGCCCAGTGTCCCAAACCCTACACCCTGCACCCCCAGACCCTTCTAAAGGTGAAGCAGCCAAAGGAAACCCTTGTAAAGCGAACCACAACGTACCATAGAAGCCAGACAAGTGACTAATGCAACTCTTCCGTAGGGTTCCGATTATAGCTAGCCATAAAATGCACTGAAACTCTATTCTAATTGTTAAGGCGCCTACTGTGGCCCAGTCTGTGCCAGGCTTTACACCCATGCCACGCCCACGCAGCCTGGCTTTGAAGGGACCTTGGGACGGTTTCGCAGAGACTCCAAAACCCTTTGCCGGGTCCTAAAAATATGTAGAATAATAGCCGTTTATAGGTTTTGGGCCATTAGTTTCCTAATTACCTTGGGGGGTTTAGGTTATGTTTTTAATGTAGCAATATCAAATCTAAATTATGGAGAGATCCTCATGATAATTTCAGCTACATTCTGAACTAAGATATATACCTTAAAGATATGTCCCAAGGTGCGCTACTTTCCTCAGCTGAGAAAGACACCTTCAAGATTTACCCTCAAGATATACCCAAATGGTATACCCTAAAGTCCGGTTCGGCTTGTGTTTCGTGTTCGTTTGCGTGTTGGACCTGGTGTGGAATCTGCTGGTTAAACTTGGCGGGCCCTGTCCCTTGGACCAAGATTGTCGTCGCCGGGTCGCAGCATATCTGCTTGCTTTCCTTCAGAAATCTGAAACATAATCACGGACATGCCGGTACATCGGGTGGTTGCACGTGTCGGATCTGTCCAGGACCGGGGCGAACTTGCATCGTGTGTGAGTATCTGGATGAAGAGTAAGAGGATCTTCGTCACGGTTAGGGCCAGGGTTTAGGGTTTAGGTTTTAGGCTTTAGGGTTTAGGGTTTGCGAGCTTCAACTTTGAAGCAAAAGCCTGAAACACAAGCCTGAAACCTAAAGACCTAAGCCCTGCAACACGAAAAAAGGAGTTCAAAAAAAACCCTAAAACACAAAACCAGAAACCCTAAAACCTACCGATCTTATGCTGAACCCGGCGCCCGAAACCCTGAAGAAACAGGAGCCGGATGGAACTCACTGGCAAGCCCTCCTGAACCTAAAGATCCTCTGTCTTGGGGTTTTTGGACCTCTAATCATAGGGATCCTTAGGGGTGTAGGGGGAGGGGGGGTAGGGGGCCTTAAGGCCCATAATAAGGACTAATAAGGCCTATTTAAGGAAATATAGTCCCCTACACCCCTCCCCCCTACACCCCTAAGGATCCCTATGATCTAACTTCCGAACCCTGAACTTCGGACTCTACATCCTGGGTTTAGGGACTTATACGGCTTGATGGTTTAGGGCCAAAGTAGAGGAGCTTGAGGATTTTGGGGCTTTTGAGGCTCGAGGGAGCTTTTAAAGTGTTTTCGGGGTTGTCGGTGTTTTAGGGCTGACTCTCCCGACCTCCGAAACTCGAGCTGAGCCACAATAAAAGCCCTATTCTAGCGATTAAGGCCCCTATATGATACGGTTGATAATATAAATCCTGCATGACCCATAATAGGGAATATACCGTAATTCCCATAGTTTAGGGTCCTTAAGGTCATGCAGGATTTACATCATCAACCGTAGTACCCTTATAGATCCCTTATAGTAACCCTAAGCCTCTTTCAGGCTGTTCAACTCCGGGACGCCGTGCCCGCAGATGTCTTCGTGCTTCCTCCTCAAGATGAAGGCCCAAAGCCCTCAACTACGTGGAGAGTCGGGGGACTTAGCAAGCAGGCTGTAACTAGAGTTATAAGTGCCCTAAGTGGGTTCCTAATTGGGGTTATGGTACTTATAAGTCTACTTACCAAGTCCCCCGACCCTCCAAGTAGGGCCTCAACAAAGCACAAAAGCAACAACTAGGATAGGGATATCCCATATCAACCCCCTTTTAAGGAAGCCCAAGGTAGGGATATCCCTATAGAATGCTCATGCTTATGTCTTTTTTGAGTCCCTAATCAGCCCCAATTAGGGTTTAGGGCTGAGGCTTTAGGTTTCCCCTTAAACCTCAAACCCTAAACGCAGTGGTTGGGTATCTGTAGGTTTCAGTTGGTTATGCCCAAGATCTTAAACGTAAATCCGGATTCCTAAGCCGCGAACCCGGACCCTAAACTAAAGATCTTAACGCAAAGACCCTAAACCCTAAAGCCCCCCCACCTATACAGTATCGCCTGGCCAGGAAGACAGCATCGATGGCATCTACGATACCCTCAGGCAGTCATCGGCTCAGAAAGGTCGCTGAGTTCATGGGTTTTGAAAAGCGGCATTAGGATTGAGAGTTCACAGTAAACCCCATAAAGTTGGAAACCGGATTAAGGCCAAATAGTGCTGGGATTCCCTATACATTACTCTTAAGGATTGAGGCTATGGGGTTTCCAACTTTTGGGCTTTTACTGTAGGGTGTAGGGGAGAGGATTGAGAGCTTAGAGTCTTTGGGTTTACGGTTAAGGGTTTAAGCTTATAGGATCTGTGTGTTCTTGAGGCCAGGCATAATCTTCCAGTTCTTATAGTAGAAGCTCAAGAAATTCATAGAATATCGGTATTCAAAAGGTCCTTCAGTGGGAAAGCATTTTGAAGATCTTAGGCTTTGCTGGCGAGTTTATCGATGTTTCATCAGGGTTGTCGGAACTTAACAGTGCTCATTGTCATAGAGGTTGATGGTTTGAGGTTCCTGAGTTTTTGCCTAGTAAAGGTTGTTTGGGGCCTTTTTTGAAGTGGTCTTTCCGTCCAATGTACGACATCTGTAGCTGTTTTCTTCAGGGGCTGTGATGGTTCATAGCCCTAAGCCGCAACCTTAAACCATACTTTCATGTTTAGAATGCGGATCTAAAGAGGTCTGGAGAGACTTGTCCCTGACAATGCTGTGATGGAGGTGGAAAGGGTCGATCACTGGGAGATCCTGATACTGTAGAAGCCGAAGTAACTACCCAACATGATTCCTTAAAGGTTCTTCTTATATTTATAGTATGATATACCCCAAAACCCCATTCTAATTTGAATCGCTGCGCGTCGTCCGCCTCGGCCCGGCTGTACGCGCATGCGGCGAGTGGCTACTATCTGCAGCAAGCTCTTGTAGGAAAAAAGTAACAGTTGGAATCCCGGTATAGTAAAAGTAATGTTCATAGCAACACGAAGCAGGATGATTGTGGTAGTATCAGTACGAATTTTGGTGTCGTCATTCCGAAACACTGGATACCAAGACTCTCGCAAGCGGCGGGATGCCTTAAGTAAGGGCCGTTGAGGCTGGCTGGGTTTAGGGGCCCCCAACAAGTAAAGATGCTACATTACAGTCCCCTGTCGTCGGAAACTCTCACAGTGTTGCAAGCCTTGGCGCCCTTTGGCCCAAACACCCGACTGCAGGGAGTGAGCATAAAGAATCGGGAAAGCGGGAAGGCAGGCGGGGGGAAGGGAACAGGGCCACGGCAGGGAGTGAGCATAATGAATCGGGAAAGCGGTGGGAAGAGGAAACAGGGAGAGTGAGGGGGGCGGGAGGCACAGGTGGGGGTGGCGCGGGAGGGGGGGGAAAAATAGGGGGGGGGGCGGGGGCGGGGGGGGGGGGGGGGGGGGGGGGGGGGGGGGGGGGGGGGGGGGGGGGGGGGGGGGGGGGGGGGGGGGGGGGGGAGGGCAGGGAAGTGGTGGAGCAGAAAACGAAATTGGGTGGAACTGCCTAGAGAGAGCTAAAATCCGTTGGAAAAGGCGAGAATTCACTGGTGGACCTTGGGCCTACTAGACACGTTTCCATTTTTAAGGCTTTTTCGGGGGTGGCATCACTTCCGTGTTTATGGTTTTCATGTCAGCGATATTTCCCCTGCTATTTTTGATCGCTTCTCAAACGGTCGTAAACTCTGCACACTTCCCTGAACCGTAAAACAGCCCCCCGACCCTCTCAAGCCTTCTGCGCGATAACAGCTGCGTTCGCCATGGCGACTTTCTGAGTGAACCTAAACCCCCACAGCCGCCTGAGCCGAGGGTTTATTAGGTAGTATTATTAGGGAGACCCCTTAAAGGGTACCCCTTCTGAACCCTACTTCTGGCTCTCTTAAAGGGAGCCTTATTGAGAGGGTCTATATCCCCAAGGGTCCCCTTAATCCTAACTCCCATATATCCCAACGGAGCACTGGCCGAAACTAAACCCTATAAAAGGTGCGCCCTCATCTCGAAGAGTGCTGGGGGCATCGGCGTAGCCATCTCCAACACGCGGGCCAAGGGCTCTTACATCCGGGGTACCAACGGCCGCCTGGCTTCGGATAGTGTATGATAGTGTGTTATGTGTCGGCGATAAACTCTAAACCCTCAAAGCCCTAAACCCTAAACCCTCAAAGCTTCGAGTTCAGGGTAGGGCTTAGGGAGTTCAGGCTTCGCGGGATCTCACCGGGGCTTCTTGGGCTCTTCGAGGCTTTTAATAGGGGTTTAGGGTTTAGGGTTTAGGGTCTAAGGTTTAGGGTTTAGGGTACTTACCAGGGTGCTACACGTTGTTCCTGCAAAAGGTTCACAGATGCCCTACCCCAGGCTACAGCAATGGGCTCGTGCCCATGCTGCGCAATTTCAACGAGACCGCGCGCTACGTTGATCAGGGCGGAGGCACGCAACTTTAAGCCGATTTAGATTTAGATCGTACTACACCCTACACTTCTCAGCCCTTAGCCCTAAACCCTGAAAGCCCAAGCTAAACTCTAAACCATATTTGGCAGCCAGGGTTATGCATAAGGCAGCTTTTTTTGTAATTGCTTAGAGGTCGAGGTTCATTGGAGAGTGCTTGTCCAAAACAGCCTGCGAAGGCTGTAGGGCTCCGGTTGTAAGATCTCTGTAGCACTTCTCGGAGATCGGCGATTCCTGAAAGTGCGCCTGGTAGCTGAGTGGATACAGTGTACACTTTTTGGGATAGTATTACCCACTGAAAAACTAGAAGTGTACACTGCTTGGGGCTTATGACTCAGCAACTAGGTGCGGCTTCGCAGGCCAAGCCTGCCTGCCTAAACCCTAAGCCCTAAACCCCAAACCCTAAACCCCTAAACCCCTAAACCCTTAAACCCTTAAACCCTTAAACCCCTAAACCCCGAAACCCCTCAACCCCTAAAACCCTACACCGCTAAACTCCTCAACTCCTAAACTCCTAAACCCCAATTAAAGCGTTTACGGAGTGATGCGTGAGCTTTGGAAGTACCGAGCCGGCACGAACAGAGACTGAAAACCACCCGGCCCTGACACGCTAAACTAGGGTTTAGGCTTTAGGGTTTAGGGCTCTAGCCCCTCTAGATGTAGGGACCTAACGCATTAATTGCCCATAAAACGGACGATACCATAATTCCCATAGTTTAATGCATGTTTTATGTCATCAACCGTCGTTATTCGCAAGGGCTCCTTATGGTGATTGTATGATAGTACAGCCCAAGATCATATTCTGAACATTCAGGCCCCTATAGTAGAAGCCAAATGCTTTTCATGCCAACCCCCTCCTTGGACGCAGCAGCCGCGAGTTCAGGGGGGTCTTCGGATGTACTTGGAGGTTCATGGGACTTAGTAACTAAGTAACTAGGGTTATAAATAAGGTAACTATACTTATACTTACTTATAACCCCAGTTGAGGTACTCATAATTGTACTTACTAAGTCCCATGAACCTCCAAGTACGGCTTGTGCTGTAGGGGTTAACGTTTTCGTTGCACTGGCATGCCTTACTGTCCTTGTTTGTAGGGCCTCACTACAGAAGTTGTGGAGGCTTTTCAGACAGGGTAAGTTATGGTAGTTTGTGATAAGCTCTTGTAAGAACCCCATAAAGAAGTGAATCCCCTCAAGATCCCACATGAACCCTAAACTTTAACTCTCGAGGTCCTTAACCCTCCACCCTCAACTCCAAACCAATAAACCCTCAAAGCCCTATTGCGAACCCCAGAAAGTTGGAACATGGATTTTAGGAGGATTCGTGTTGGGATTCCTTTCACTTTACATGAAGGGCACGAGGATAAATGATGTTCCAGCTTTTTGACTTGTACTTTACATCCTTAAACAAATCCTAAAGCCCAGCCCTGAAAACCTGTAGACCCTAAACCCTAAACCCTTATAGATCCCTCTACGGAACCCTATAGATCCCTTTAACGAACCCTGAACCCTAAGCCCCACAAGAGGCAAGCGAAAAGGCTCCTTTGCCATGTACCTCGAGCCTTGGCATGCTGCCGCCCGACAAAATTAGATGGCGGCTGGGATATCTTTACCCTAAACCCTAAACCCTAAATCAGGCTTTAGGGTTTGGGGTTCAGGCTTAGGGTTAAGAGTTTCGATTGTAGGATTTAGGAGACCCTAAACCTCAGAATGGCCTACACGCTTTGTAACTCATATCGGGATGTTCAGGGCTTCGGGCCGAGGCGGAGAACAGGTGAGGCTCGAAGGTTTGGGGGTTTAGGGTTTAGGGCTCTAGGCACAGCAGGTTTGAGGAAATAGGCTAAGCTCCGTGATAGTATGCTTTTTTCTCCTTTTTCACAGGGGCTTGCCAAACCCTCCTCACCCTGTCATTCCGAACATCAACCTTACGACAATCCCAGCTCTAAACCCTAAACCCTAAACCCTAAACCGTGGAACATGGATTTAGGATGACTAGTGCTGGGATCCCCAACACCTTGCCTGAAGGGCACCGGAGAATGATGTTCCAATTGTGTGGCTTCTACTTTTCCTGAACCCTAAAACCTCTAAACCCGAAACCCGAAACCCTGAACCCTAAAACCCTAAACCCTAAACCCTAAACCCTAAACCCGAAACCCCTAAACCCGAAACCCCTAAACCCTAAACCCGAAACCCGAAACCCCTAAACCCTAAACCCTAAACCCGAAACCCCTAAACCCTAAACCCGAAACCCCTAAACCCTAAACCCTAAACCCTAAACCCGAAACCCTAAACCCCTAAACCCGAAACCCTCTGGGGTTTAGGGATCCAGCTTGTTCCGACGAGGATGTCCTCGACTTCCTAGAGCTGCGCAAGAACCACGGGAAGGAGGACCTTCCCCAACAAATTCACCGGAAGCCCTCTTTAGAGCTTGAAGCTTTAGAGTTTAGGGTTGCAGGGTTTCGGGTTTGAGGTGGAGAGTTATTGGGGTTTAGGACTTCAGGGTGGGTTTAGGGTTTACCTGTGACCCCAAACCCTACAAAATAATAGGTTATGAACCCTTAATGACAAGGTCGAACCCTTACAACCGTAGGTTTTGGGATCCCAAGGTATACCCCAAATCCTACGCCCCAAAACCCTATAGATCCCTTGTAGGAACCCTTAAAGGAACCCTTATAAATCCCTCTAAGGTGTGAAACCTCAAAAGCGCCATTTAAAAGGCGCTTCTGTTTTCTCGGCCCTTGGGTTCGGATTGAAGGTTCTAAGTTTTAAGTTTAGGGTTTTAAGTTTAAGTTTAGGGTTTGGGGTTTGGGGTTTAGGGTTTGGGGTCTAGGGTTTAGGGTTCGGGGTCTAGGGTTTAGGGTTTAGGGTTTGGGGTTTAGGGTTTGGGGTTTGGGGTTTAGGGTTTAGGGTTTGGGGTCTAGGGTTTAGGGTTCGGGGTTTAGGGTTTAGGGTTTGGGGCTTAGGGTTTAGGGTTTAGGGTTTAGGGTTTTAAGTTAAAGTTAAAGGCCCACAAACCGAATGCAGGACGTGGTCCAAGCGGAATCCTGCCCCACCAAGCCCCCACAGCCATGAACCCAGGATGTTTAGGGTTTCGTCTTTGGGTTTAGGGTTTCGGTTTCGGGCTTAGGGTTAAGGGTTTAGGGTTTAGGGAACTGTCAAACACGAAAGCGCTGGTGAAGGCTTGGGCAAACCCTACCGAAAAATGACTCATTATGAGCCCCCAACCCCTTACAGCGCCTGAACACAGATGCTCCATAAACACCGCATAAGGCCTTAATTCCACCCCGAAGACTAAACACCAAAACCCATTTCTTCTAATGCTTGCCTCCAGGAGCAGCGGGCCCGAGACCTGTTCTACGGCCTTTGGGCACCTGGGGCCGGAAAAGCACGGTTTAGGGTTGAGGGGTTTTCTACGGTTTAGGGTTTAGGGGTTTAGGGTTGATGGGTTTGCTACGGTTTAGGATTAAGGGTGGGGCGGGGTTGAAAAGCCGTAATTAATAGAGGCGTGACTGCATCACTGGTAAACTAGCCCTAAGACCTTACACAACCCAAAGCATACTCCCCTGGGTTGGCTCATTACTGTGCTTACAGTATAGCATATAGTTATTGCAGCATATTAGAGTGTGCTCTGGTAAACTATAGTACTTCATAATTCTGTATCTTGTCGTGTATTCTAGTACATTGTGGTGTTTAGGGTTTAGGGTAACGTATTGTAAGGTATCCTATGGTATATTATCACAGTACAGAACCCCTCACCCAGGACCCGATCTTGAGGCTTCTGGAGTTTGGCCAGAAGTTCCGCGGTTAAGGGTTTTAGGGTTTAGGAAGTTTAGGGTTGAGGGGTTTAGGGGTTTAGGGTTTAGGGTTGAGGGGTTTAGGGTTTTAGGGTTTAGGGTTGAGGGGTTTAGGGTTTAGGGTTGAGGGGTTTACGGTTTAGGGTTGAGGGGTTTAGGGTTGAGGGGTTTAGGGTTTAGGGTTGAGGGGTTTACGGTTTAGGGTTGAGGGGTTTAGGGTTGAGGGTTTTAGGGTGGGGGTATGGGGTTCAGGCTTCAACCCTAAACCCTATGCACCCTAAGTCCTAAATCCTAATCTCTAAGCCCCGAACCGACTGATCAGGCATCAGCCCTGAATCCTGAATCCTAAACCCTGAACCGACGGATTAGGAAGAGAGTCTGGCAATGGACATGGCATTGACCGAGTTGCGTGAGATCGTCGACTCAAATTGGGATGTGTTTGAGGTCGAGAGCGACTCTGTCGCCGGAGTCAACGTGATCCTGCGACTCTGCGACTACGGCCTGATTTCGATCCCCCCGGGCAGCACGTTCCCCTTGCTCGTGAGCTCCATCGAGTGAGCTGAGATGCATGAGAAGCTTTGCAGGCAGGACGACGTCTTGAGGTTGCCGAAGTAGTACTGGAACCCCTCCTGCACCCTGTTTCTGTCGCCATTCTCGCGAGGCAGCCCGGAGATTTAACATCCAAGCCGTGATCACGGGCTTAGAGGTGTCAGGGATCAGGAATTGCAATGCCCTACTGCTTGGTACTGTGGAGGCCCACAGCCAAACCACCGCTATTCATCATCTGGCTCTTAGCGCCGCCCTGAGAATGGAAAGCTGCGCGGTGCCAAAACCCCCAACCCTAAACCCTGGCTTCATTCCAATCGATCCAGCAACCAAGGTCTTCTGAAGGAAATTAGGAGAATCTCCAGGAGATCCAGCAGTCAACTCAAAACCTCCGGCGTTTAGGGCTTAGGGTTCTAATTGTTTAGGGTTCAGGGTTTTCAGTGTTTCGGGTTTTCAGTGTTTAGGGTTTAGGGTTCAGGGTTTCGGGTTCAGGGTTTAGGGTTTAGTGAGGGTTCAGGATTTAGGGTTACAGGGGTAAGGGGCCTGAAAACCGCGAAGGCAGGTCTTCTAAGGCCTGTTTGAGGAAGTATAATCTCTATCCCCCCCTAAAACCTGAACCCGCCTACACCTCCGAAACCCAACACGCCAGACCTGGGGGTTTGATTAGACCCAGGGGTTCAGCGGTCTCGGGGTTGATTTGGGCCGTTAGTTGTAGGAGGTTCCGAACTCGCCCAACGGTTTAGCATTCGCGATTTCGGGGTTGGGGTTTAGGGCTTTGGGTCTAGGGTTTTGTTGGGGGTGTCGGGTTTGGGGTTGATTCTTGTTTCGCCGCCTAGGTTCCTGACCTCTTCATGCGCCGCGTCAAGGACATGTTCTCGTGAAGTTCGGTAGACTGACCCGACGCCCTATGACCCTAAACCCTACACCCTAAACCCTAAACCCTAAACCCTAACCCTAAACCCTAAACCTCAGACCCCTAAACCCTAAAACCCAAACCCCCAATCCTGAAACTGCATTTTCGATATCGTTGACCTTGGGGGGCCTTAGGGCCTCGAGGCTCAGGGTTTGGAGATTTAGGGCAGTTTAGGGTTTAGAGCTTTAAGGGCTTAGCGGTTTAGAGGTTTAAGGGTTTAGGGTTTTAGTGCTGGGGGTTGGGAACTCGGGGATAGTTGGGGGTTTCCGAAATGAGGGGGCCATTTTAGGGTTCCTTCAAGGGATCTATAAGGGTTCTATTAATTAAGGGTTTAGGCTTAGGGTTCTTTAAAGGGATCTCTAAGGGCTTCAGTGCTTGGGGTTGACGGGTTTAGGGTGTTGGCGTACTTGGTAGGGTTTAGGGTTTAGTTTTTTTGGTTTAGGGTTTAGGGTTTAGTTTTTTAGGGTTGGGCCTTCCGTGACTCTGTCTGAAAAACTCGAACCCTGTTGGTAAAGTCCACGCTGGACCATGTTCGGAAAGCGTCATGCAGTGTGATGCGATGTTGGTTTTAGGAGTGCCCCAGCTTTGTGAGACTTCAGAACAAGACGGAAGGGTCGCGGTTTCTCCCGTTTTGCTGCTACCCTAAACAGTACCCCTAAACCCTAAACCCCAAACCCCAACCCCAAACCCTAACCCTAAACCCTAAACCCTGAACCCTGAACCCTAAACCCTAAACCCTTAACCACTAAACCCTAAACTCTAAACCCTAAACCCCAAAACCTAACCCTGAACCCAAAACCGTGAAACCTAAACCCTAAACCCCAGTCCCAAGTCCGAAATTATGAAATCCCTGAACCCTGAACCGTAGTCGGAAACCATGAAAACCCTGACCCTAAACCCTAAGCCCGAAACGCTAAACTAGGACCCAGAGTATCCTTTTTTTTAGGGTTCAGGTTCCCTTTTTGGCCACTTTAAACCAAAAATGGCACCCTTTGTATTCCTAGGTTACTCTTGGGTGTAGCTGAAGCCTGTAGTTTCGGATATGAGGACCCCAAAATAATGTACCCTTAATTTTCGGAAACTCCCATATGTGGTTGGCCTTGGCTCCTGTGCAGGATAACTTACCCTGAACCCTAAACCCTAAACCCTAAACCCTGTGCAGGATAACCAAGACTGGACCTTGTTCTGCCCCAACGAGGCCTTCGATGAGACTACAGGCCAGGCTACCGCTTAGGGTTTAGAGGTGTAAGTTTTCCTTGAAAGGGATCTCTAGGGGTTTACAGGGTTCCTTTTCTGGGATCTATAGGGCTTCCTTTAAGGGGGTTTTAGGGTTTAGGGTTTAGAGGTTTAAGGGTTTAGGGGTTTAGGGTTAAAGGTTTAGGGGTTTAGGGTCTAGGGTTCTCTCAAAGGGGTTAATAAGGGCTACTGTAAGGGCTATTATAAGGCTTTACTTTAGGAGTCCAAATAATTACCTACACTATTTTGAGGGTTCCTTATTCTAGCTATAGTATAATATGCACCAAAGCCCTGTTATACTTATTAAAGGCCGCTGTATCAAGGATTTAGCGGTTTAGGGTTTAGGGGTTTCCGGTTTAAGTCTGCCTGGGTTCAGGGCTGAGGATACTTTGAATCCTGGAGCGTGAATTCCCGGGATCGGGCTTTATGGCTTCGGTCATAGGGATCCTTAGGGGTGTAGGGGGAGGGGTGTAGGGGACTATATTTCCTTAAATAGGCCTTATTAGTCCTTATTATGGGCCTTAAGGCCCCCTACCCCCCCTCCCCCTACACCCCTAAGGATCCCTATGAGTCAGTCAGGTTAGAAGGACCTTCATTGCAGAACTTTAGTTGCCTGGTTTATAATAACTCTAGTTGTTAACTCCCCTGTCAATGTCTCTTGAGGCAGAACTACTACCATCAACCCCATACCTTAAACAGAGGCTTCCCAGATCCCTTCAAAACCAACTACTAATGCCCTTGTAGCGTTTGGGCTTTTTAGGGCTTAGGGTTTTAGTTGCAGAGATTAGCAGAGTAGGTACTCCAGAACCTTTATGGGTTACTGCAAGCGCGGTACTGTGACAGTAGAATCTCGAAGCTTGACCGTAAGTTAACCTGAAGCTCCCAGAGAACATTATGAAGCCCCTTATAATTTAAGGTATATTCCTTAATTAAGGGGTATTGGGTTCTCTGGGCTGGAGCGTTGGTTTAAAACACTGAGGAGCACCTTGCTCGTTCCCAAACTTTGACCAAAGAACCCAGAATCATAAAAACTCCTAAAGTAGAAGCCAGAAAGTTGGAACATCATTAGCCTCATGCTCTTAAAGCAAAGTATAGGGAATCCTAGCACGGATCCTCCTAAATCCATGTTCCAACTTTCTGGGGTTCACTATAAGTCCTAAAACCCCTGAGAGCACCCTACGACTCCGACGCTCTGAAGCCTACTTTCCGAGTGGGTTTGGGTTTTAGGGTTTAGGGTTGAGCACTTCGGGATTAGGGTTAGGGCAGAATAATTTGCAAGAGCTTCTCCCTGTACTGCTTGTATTTTTTTGTGGTATAACATACCCCAAACCCTGCTGTAATTGCCAAGGCCCTTATATATTGAACTACCTAAAGTCCCAAAACCCCCATCACGAAACCAGAAACCAGAAACCCAGAGACTCCTATATCCCTTAATTAAGTTATATACCTTAAATCATATTAGGGAGCCTACTATAATTTAAGGAAATTCCTTAACAAACGGATATGGGAGTCTCTGGGAAGCCCTAAACCCTTGGCCACGCAGCAGCGCGATAGGCAAGGGGCTGATGGATGTCTGGGGCGAGGAGTTCGACAGGCAAGGGCAGGAGCAGGTTTGGGGTCTAGGGTTTAGGGTTTGGGGTTTAGGGGTTAGGGTTTAGTTTAGGGCTTCGGGTTTAGAGTTTAAGGTTCAGGCGTCCAGATCTTTGGGGTTTCAGGGTCTATGTTTATAGTATAGTGGCCTTAACAATTACCAATGCCATTTTGGGGTTTCTTGTTTTAAGTAAAGTATAATACTGTTGATGGACAAAATCCTGCAGGACCCTAAGGACTCTAAACTATGGGAACTATGGTGCATTTCTTATAATGGGTAATGCAGGATTTATATCATCCTAAACCCTAAACCCTAGAGATCCTTTAAAGGAACCCCTTAAAGGGACCCATGTAGATCATCAACAGTAGGCTCCAAAACCCTATTCTAATTATCAGAGGATCTAGGGTTCAGGGTCCCAGCCCCCCGGGGAGGATCCAAAAAGTAGATCCCTCAATGGGGGTTCCTGTAAAGTACCCTTAGTAGTATAGGGCCCCAAATTAGGGGATCTACTTTCTAGATCCTCCCGGCGGGGGCCTGGGGTTAGGGCTCAGCTCTGTTGGTTAGCGTTTTAAGGCTATTTGGATTTCAACCCTAAACCCTTGAACCCCGAGAGCAAAGAACGAAAGGCCGAGAAGCCCTGAGTCCGGCGCCAACGAGTCTGTAAGTTAGGGTTTAGGGTTTAGGGCTTCGAAAACCTACTGTACTGCTTTAGGGTTATACCCCAAACCCTAAACCCTAAACCCTAAACCCTAAACCCTAAACCCTAAACCCAGGAATAAGGTGTCATAACCTAGCGTTTAAGGTCTTCAGGTAGGGCTGCAGGGCTTGAGGGTGGGCTTGAGGGCTGCAGGGCTTTTGGCTCTTAGGAGGGTTTGGGGTTAAGGGCTTAGGGTTTAACTGAACCCGGAAGAACCTAGCTTTTTAAAGACATATATAAGGATATCGTAACAAGGAACCCTAAAAAGGTAGGTTATTCAGGGTTAAGTTAGGGTTTATGCCTGAGCGCTAGGGCTTTGGGGTTTGGATTTGGGGTTTGGGGTTTAGTGTGTGTTAAGGGCTGAATGTAAAAAGTCAGTGAGCCCAAATGTAGGGCCCGGAACGATCACCAACGTTCCCTGGGGTCCCTCAATAAGTGTAAGTATTTACTACGCTATCATGATTTCCCAAAGCCTGTATCTGGTTACTAAGAGCCCTAAAACCTAAATCCTAAACTCCAACCCTGGGCATCAACATAGCCCAAAAGCCTTATATGATACGGTCGTTGGGCCCAAAGAGCCTTAATATATGAGTCCTTAGGAACCCTATAGATCCCTTAAAGGACCCCTTATAGATCCCTTTAAAGGACCCCTTATAGATCCCTTTAAAGGAACCCTGATAGATCCCTTTCAAGGACCCTTGTAGATCCCTTTCAAGGACCCCTTATAGATCCCTGTAAAGGGCCCCTTATAGATCCCTTGAAAGGACCCCTTATAGATCCCTTTAAAGGAACCCTTTATGAGTCCTTAGATGCCTAGGGTAATACCCTAAACCTCGCGCCCTGCAGACCATTTGGGCTCGTCTTTTCGCTGCTAAAACCCAAGCCCCTGCATGAAAGAAGACTGATCCATCTGAGTGGTTGTCAAAATTATGGTCCCTTTTTGGGTACTCTAAGTATTAGGTGCCGTATTATAATAGGGACCCAAAAAGGGACCTTCATTTTGACAACCATCCATCTAGCCGTAGCTCTTTCGCACTTGGGCCTGAGACAGAGGGTGCAGAGTTTATGGTGGTCAGGTTTGGGGGGTAGGCTCAGAGGTTTGGGGTTCTAGGGTTCCGAAAACCCTAAACCCTAAGCCCTAATTGCCTAAACCCTAAACCCTAATTCCCTAAACCCTAAACCCTAAACCCTAAACCCTAATTCCCTAAACCCTAAACCCTAATTCCCTAATTCCCTAAACCCTGAACCCTAAACCCTAAGTCCCTAAATCCTAAACCCTAAACCCTAAACCCGAAGTCCCTAAACCCTAATTCCCTAAACCTCTACGCTCTGAAGCCACAGAGCCCCCGACTGAATCTCCCCGACAGACGTTACGTACGCTAGGTCCTTCGAACAACCGTCTGAATGCAAGGCCTTAAACTTTGTCATGGTTGGGTAACATTTTAGATTTTTATGGGTACTTAAACCCAATAAGGAACACAAATTTGAATTGTTAATCCTATCCCAACCATGAACTAGTAGGCCCCAAAGTAGTTCCTTTTTGGGATTCCGTTATAGGATTCTATATACGAACCCCAAAAAGGAACTACTTTGGGGACTTAGGGTAAACCCTTAAAATGCGGACCACCAAGTTCAGACCCGAGCCTGCGTGTAGTCCGATTGCATCTCCGCCACTTATAGTAGAAGCCAAAAAGGTGGAAACCCCATAGCCTAAGTCCTTAAGAGTAGTGTATGGGGATTCCCAGCGCTATTTGGCCTTTATCAGGTTTCCAACTTTATGGGGTTTACTGTAACATGTCGCTTACCGTGCAAGTTGGATTGCTCAGTGGTAGGACAGCTACTGTGCAAGCCGACCTGGAGGAAGAAGTGGGGACTCTGAAACGACGTGCGGAGATGGCACTCGAAGTGGGCCAAGGGCAGCTGGTGAACTCATCTGGAGGAGTTCTGGATGTGCGTGCACCGATCAAGCGCGTCCGGCTGCAGGATGGTGACTCACTCGTTTTGCATATAAGCAGAGTTCAAGTTCAAGCTATTCGCGCCATTGACGGCAGTGACGCTTTTGCTGCAGTTCTTGGCGATGGATCATTCATGACCTGGGGTGAACCTACCGAAGGTGGTGACAGTAGTGCAGTGCAGAATCAGCTGAAGAATGTGCAGCAGGTCCAGGCCACCGACAGAGCTTTCGCAGCCATTCTTGCCGATGGCTCTGTCGTGACCTGGGGTGATGCTGATTGCGGTGGTGACAGTAGTGCAGTGCAGGATCAGCTGAAGAATGTGCAGCAGATACAAGCCACCGGCGGTGCTTTTGCAGCCGTTCGTGCCGATGGATCGGTTGTGACCTGGGGTGATCCTGCCGAAGGTGGTGACAGTAGTGATGTGCAGGATCAGCTGAAGAATGTGCAGCAGATACAAGCCACCTGCGGCGCTTTTGCTGCCATTCTTGACGATGGCTCCGTAATGACTTGGGGACAGTCTGACTTTGGCGGGGACAGTAGTGGTGCGCAGGATCAGCTGAAGAACGTGCGGCAGATCCAAACGTGCACGTACGCTTTCGCTGCCATTGTTGGTGATGGATCGGTCGTGACATGGGGTTCTGCTCAAGATGGTGGTGACAGTAGTGCAGTGCAGAATCAGCTGAAGAATGTGCAGCAGATCCAAGCCGTTCGAGGCGACTACGGCGGCGCATTTGCTGCCATTCTTGCCGATGGCTCTGTCGTGACCTGGGGTGATGCTGGTTACGGTGGCGACAGTAGTGCAGTGCATAATCAGCTGAAGAACGTGCAGCAGGTCCAAGCCCTCGGAAGCGATGGTTGCGGCGCGTTTGCCGCCATTCTTGCCGATGGCTCTGTCGTGACTTGGGGTGCTGCTGATTTCGGTGGAGACAGTAGTGATGTGCAGGATCAGCTGAAGAATGTGCAGCAGATCCAAGCCACCGGCGGTGCTTTTGCGGCCATTCTCGGCGATGGCTCTGTCGTGACCTGGGGTGATGCTGGTTTCGGTGGCTACAGTAGTGCAGTGCAGAATCAGCTGAAGAAGGTGCAGCAGGTCCAAGCCACCGGCAGCGCTTTCGCAGCCATTCTTGCCGATGGCTCTGTCGTGACCTGGGGTGATGCTGATTATGGTGGTGACAGTAGTGATGTGCAGGCTCAGCTGCAGAATGTGCAGCAGATCCAAGCTTCGGACCGTGCTTTTGCTGCCATTCTGAGAGATGGATCTGTTGTCACCTGGGGGCTGGAAGTGGAAAAGGAGGAGGAAGACTGGGAGGAGGACGAGCTGGAGGAGGAAGAGGAAGAGGAAGCGGACGATGAAGATTTTCTGTAGTGATCCCTAAAATGCAAGGTCTGGGAACCAATACTGCATAGGGGCCTCAATAATTACCTATGCTATTTTGGGGGGTTTCTCAGTATAAGTATAGTAAAATGGGCCCCAAAACGCTATTCTAATTATTAAGGCCCCTACATTAAGGACTTAGGGTTGACTTGGGGCCTCCTGGCTTTTGTTTCCAGATCTATTGTAGGGGCCTCAATGCTTACCGATACTATTTTGGGGGCTCCTTGTGATAATCATACTATAACCCTAAACCCTAAACCCTAAACCCTAAACCCTAAACCCATACTATAACGAGTCCCAAAACCCTATTGTAACTATTAGGGCCCCTACATTAAGGGATTGGCTTCCTGCTGTCAACATCACTTAGGGGTACTTAGAAATAACTTTTAATTTTTGGTTATTATAATCCCTAAGAAACAGCTAAAAGCACAATTTTTGCTAGGGTTTTAAGTTCAGTATAGATCAAGCAGCAGCCGTGCAAGAAGTAGCAGCTCCGACTTGCGGCGGGACACTCGCGGCTGGCACCACAAGTCATGCTGGTCGTGTCAGGGTTCGCAGGGTTGCAACTGACTTAGAACTCTTTCTTTGTCATAGTCGGGTAACATTTTACATTTTTATGGGTACTTAAACCCAATAAGGAATAAAAGATTAGTTTTTGAATCCTAGCCCAACCATGAACTAGTTTTAACGAAGCTCCATTTCGTCGTGTTAAAGGAGCTCGGGCTGGGATCCCACGTCAACCTTCGCTTGCTTATATGTTAAGGTTCAGGGGTTAGGGCTCTCAAAGAGGAAAGGAGGGACCCTTATTTTAGGGCTGTTAGGGTTCCTTTAAAGGGATCTATAAGGGTTTAGGGTTTAGGGTTTAGGGGAAAAGGAGGGGCCCTTAATGGAGACCCCTACCCTATAATGGGCTATAATACTGGGTATATAGTAGCTATATTAAGGGTATATACCTAGGGGTCCTTATTAAGGGTCCCTCCTTTTACCCTTGGAGGTTCAAGTTTCGAAAGTGTCTTACATGAGTCAGGGCTTGTATCACGGCTTGGGGGTTACTAGCAACACAACACTTAGCGATGATTGGCGTCATAAGTTCAAGTGTCTTTCTCTTATGTCCGTACAGCATTCGTTGGGGGTGCCCTCAAGCTACAACCAAGCGCTAACAATAAATTCTACGGCCTACACCCCATCACCCTTCAATTAAGTAATCTACTTTAAATTCTAGTAGGACCCCTCGTAAGGTTTATTGTAATTTCTTACTTAACGGATGTTGAAGGTTTGGGAATGGCACCCTTCTCGAACCAAGAAAACTACTCTGAAAGGTTCCTGCCAACGTACTTCCCGGAACCTTGAAGGAAGCTTCAAGCTAACCCTGCTGTTATATGAACCCCAAAACCAATAATTATTAAGGCCCCTATACCTAAACCCTAAACCCTGAACCGTGAATCCTAAACCCTCTTGAGGGTGTAAGGCTAAGGGTTGAAACCCTAGGCCTTAATCCTAAAACCCCAAAGTCCGCATTCACGGTCTGTTCGCAACTGCTTGCGGTTTCGGGGTTCAGGGTTTTAGGGTTCTTTACGTTTTTGAGCCTAAACCCCAGACCCTAAACCATTATGCAGGGCCGGGTTTCGATGTCCAGGGCTGTATACGTCTTTTGCTGGGCTCTCGTGTTCAGGAACTTAACTTAAGTTTTCAAAAAACAGGGATCTATAGTAACGAACATGGTTTCCTTGTTATGGTAGATTGAAACAAGTCCCTTAACAAAAACCCAGCAGTTGAGGGATCTTTCCCGAATCTATAGTTGGGATGCCTGCTAAGGAGTCTTGTCTTCAGGAACACAAGCTATAAAAGGGTTTTGCAGCCCACTATGCTATGATTGTAACAAGGAACCCCCCCCCAAAATAGCATAGGTAATTATTAAGGCTCCTACATTAGCGGTTTTGGGGTTTTGGGAGCGTCGGTGTATGCTGGGATTTTGCTGTGCTCCTACAAAGTTCAAGCATCCTTCAATGGAGACCCCAAACCCTAATGAAAACCCTAAACCCTAGACTCCTAGACCCCAAACCCTAAACCGTGGCCCTACTGAAAACCGTAAACCCTACTTGGAAGGTCGGGGAATTTAGTAAGTAGGCAGTAGCTAGAGATATCAGTGCCAAGTGGGTTCCTAATTGGGGTTATGGTACTTATAAGTCTACTTACCAAGTCCCCCGGCCCTCCAAGTAGATCAGTTCGGGCAGGCTGTACGAACAGCTGGAGCAGGCCGGCAAGGGCCGCAAGACGATGAAGGCGCCGCCAGTGCAGTGGTCTGTAGAGGCTTAGGGTTGAGGGTTATAGGGTTTAGGGTAATAAATAGGGTTTAGGGTTATAGGGTTTTAGGGTGTAGGATTTTGCAGGATTTTACTGGTGTTTTTCGGTGTTTTACAAGGGTTTCATGAGGCTTCAAACATAGGAGCCTGAACAGAGAATGACTATGTCTAGTAGATATATAGATCTCCACTGCCCCAAAATTCTGATTATTCAGGCCCCTATACTCGGATTTCTACATCTGCATTTTGAGTTGCGGCTTAGGCACACTCAACAAATCGCAGTGAAAAGGCTGACCTCCAAATCCGCTTCAAGCAAAACCACGCTTCCAGGGCTCGAGATCTTTGGGCTTCTTATATAAGAGCTTGATAACAGTTCTATAAGGGTTCTACAAGGCATTGTGCAATGCCAGGGTTTAGGTGTTTCTGGGTTACGCTTCAGGTTCTACGGTTGATGATCTATATCCTGCATCACCTAAGGGCCTTAAACTATGCGAGTTATGGTATTTTCCTTATTAAATGGGTAATGCAGGATTTATATCATCCTAAACCCTAAACCCCCTATAGATCCCTTAAAGGAGCCCCTTAAAGGTACCCATGTAGATCCCTTTAAAGGAACCCTAGGGTTTATATCATCAACCGTAGGTTAAATTTAGAGTTTGGTGCTCGGGGTTCAGGTTTCAACGTGCTGCGGAAGACGGTAACCCAGAATTTGGGGAGGATCGGGGTTTAGGGGTTTAGGGTTTAGGGGTTTAGGGGTTTATGGTTTAGGGGTTTAGGGTTTGGGGGTTTAGGGTTTAGGGTTTAGGGTTTAGTGGTTTAGGGTTTAGGGTTTAGGGGTTTAGGGGTTTAGGGTTTAGTGGTTTAGGGTTTAGAGCCGGGAGGATCTAGAAAGTAGATCCCCTAATTTGGGGCTTAGTAGGGTTCCTTAAAGGGCTCCTTTGAGGGATCCTGTAGGGTTTAGGGTTTAGGGATCTATAAGGGAAAGTAGATCCCCTAATTTGGGGCCCTATACTGCTCAGGGTACTTTATAGGAACCCCCATTCAGGGATCTACCCTAAACCCTAAACCCTAAAACCCTATAGATCCCTTAAGGGGACCCCTAAAGGAACCCCCATTAAATCATTAAGGGATCTACTTTTTGGATCCTCCCGAGGGTCTGGGAAGATGCTTTCAACGACCCAGCTGATTCGAGCAAGCCTTGGTGGAGGGTTTAGGGGTTTAGGGTTTAGGGTTTAGGGTTTGCCGAAGAGTGGCGCATAAGCGGAAGGATTTCGCGACAGTGTAATTTCGACATCGTCTTCTGACGATTGAGTGTCGGAGCCTGATTATGGATGGCTCTTCTTTTAACTCTCCCACCCCATGCCGTCTAAGGCGGCCAAACCACCCAAACCTATTCCTTTTAGGGTTTAGCCCCTAAACTCATTCTATGGTTTTCCTTTTTCTTAGATATGACTGCAGACGAGGTGCTGGTGATCAGTAGTTGGGCAGAGGGGGGCCAGGGGGGGGCAAGGCGGGGGCCAGAGTTCGGGCATTCAGGAAAGAGCAGTTTTAGTCCAAGTCCCCCCTAGGACCAGCCAGGAGGCCCCTAGGTCCCCGAACTTTGCTCGCTGCAGGCCCCAGCCCCCCCTGGGGGGTCCCTTTTTGGAGGGGGGCCTAAAAGGCCAGTGACGCCCAGAGCGTGGATTTCAGGGTTTAGGGTAATGACTTTATTAAGGGACCAGTACTGGTCCCGAGGAGAACTTGTTCCGGTACCGGGCACAACGTGGGTGCTACTGTCCCCATGGCTGTGGAAAGGCGGGCGAGCGTAGTGGGTCGCTCTGCGCCATCGAGGTCGACGGGCTTAAGCGCCGCCCACCCACGGTGGGCGGCCTAAATCCTACAAAATAGTAGGACATGACCCCTTAATTTGAGGGTCCAACCCCTAAAACGGTAGGTTTTGGGATCCCCAGGCAAAGCCTAAACCTGTACTCCGAACCGTTCTGTGCGTTGGGGTTGACTGTGCAGGATGTCAGCTTCTCAGTACTTTCGGGCTTTGAGTGTTTTATGGTTTAGGGTTTAGGGTTTAGGGAATAGATCCCTATTATGGTAACTTAAGTTTTCAAGTTCCCTAGCCGTCTTCTGGGCTTTGGGTGTTTTGTAGATCCCTATTGTGGTAACTTAAATGTTCAAGTTCCCTAGCCGTCAAAGGAAGGTTCAAAAGTCAAGGTCTTGAGGGCGGGATTGTGTTCTCTAAAGGTTCATGGTTCGAGGTTCCGAGGTTTAGGCCATCGTCAGGGATAGAGGCTGGTGGCTACGGGTCTTGGAAGGTTTCATGAACCCTACTTAGAGGTTGATGGGACGTATTAACTAGGGTTATAATTAAGGTCACTTCCCTTATATGTACTTATAATCCCAATTAGGGTACTTCTAACTGTACTTACTAAGTCCCATGAACCTCCATGTAGATCCAGAACTCCAAACTTCAGGCACAGCAGCTGTGGTTTCGCATTCTGGAAGCGCAGATGGAGACTGGCACGCCCTACATGCTGTACAAGGACCGAAATCTTAGCTTCCGGTTTAGAGTTTAGGGTGTAGGGTAGCTTTAACCAAACTCTCTGCGAAACTCTCTGCCCCTTGGCCCAAACTTCTTGGGAACCCCGAACCCCAAACCCTAAACCCTAAACCCTAAAGCCCAAACCCTAAACCCTAAGCCCTGAACTCAAAAAGCAGAACCCTAAACCCGAAGCAATGTAGAGTTCCGTGAGGATGAAACCCTGAACCCTCAGGCCCCTCAAAGGCAGCCCCATAATATAGGGGCCTCAATAATTACCTATACTATTTGGGGGGTTCCTTATGATAAATATAGTATAATGGGCCCCAAAACCCCATTCTAATTATTAAGGCCCCTATATTAGATCCCTTACGGATTCCCTTATAAAGGAACCCATGGAAGCCCTTCAAGGAATCCCTAGAGATCCCTGACGGATTCCCTTAAAGGAACCCATGGCCTATAGACCCTAAACCCGTGAGGATGCGGCGAACTCGAAGTCGAACCAGCAGAATCTCGGCACCATCCACAGACCCTCGGACTGCTTTCACTCAAAGGGGAAAAGGAGGGACCCTTGTTTTTGGGCTGTTAGGGTTCCTTTAAAGGGATCTACAAGGGTTTAGGGTTTAGGGGAAAAGGAGGGGACCTTAATGGGGACCCCTACCCTATAATGGGCTATATAATGGGTACATAATAGCTATATTAAGGGTATATATAGGGGACTGCCTCCACTGTGGATCTCATTTAGGGGGCTTAGGGGGTTTTAGGGGCTTTTGGGGGGTTTAGGGGTTTAGGGGGGTTAGGGGGTTTAGGGGGTTTAGGGGGTTTGGGGGGTTTAGAGGGTTTGGTCTTGTTCAGGGCTTAGGATGAGGGTACCGGGATTTAATCTAGCTTTGGTTCCGGCCAGGCCCTGTCAATGGTCCTTTCATTTTTGGGGGGCTCACGATGGCTTCAGGTTATGGGAGTTTAGGCGGGTTTAGGGGGTTTAGGGGGTTCAGGGGGATTTAGGGGGATTTAGGGGAGTTTAGGGGAGTTTAGGGGGGTTTAGGGGGGTTTAGGGGGGTTTAGGGGGGTTTAGGGGGGTTTAGGGGGGTTTCGGTGGGTTTAGGGAGATTTAGGGTTGATGCTAAATTCTACGTAGCTTCAATCCCGTGCGACGACGACGACTACTACTGCTCCTGCCGTTGCCACTACTACTACTACTACTACTACTACTACTACTACTACTACTACTACTACTACTACTACTACTACTACTACTACTACTACTACTACGGCGACGACTATGACGACGATTACTGCCGCTACTAGTGTGAGTATGATCATATTTCGGTATTCTGATCACCTAAACCCCAAACCCTGAACCTTAAGCCCTAAACCCTAAACCCTGAACCCTAAACCCTTAACGCCTGAAGCCCCCAAACCCTGAATCCGAAACCAGACCGAGGCTCCAACCTCTGTACCGAGATCATCGAGTACACCTCGGAGGATGAAGTTGCTGCCACTCGACGAAAGAAGTGGATCCTTAGGGCTCCTTTACAGGATCTCCATGGGGGTTCTATAAGAGGTCTCTAGGGTTCGGGGTCAGGATCTCCATAAGGGCTCTCTCAGAGATCTCCAGGTTTAGGGTTAAGGATCTCCATGAGGGTTCTATAAGGGATCTCTAGGATCCCTTTAAGGTTTAGGGTTTAGGCGGTTTAGGGTCCAGACTTTTAGGCTTTAGTAAGTAGAGTTTGGGGTGTTGCCGGCACTTGGGGTGTTTGGGCTTCGGGTTTTCAGGTTCGTGGTTCTTAGTAAACTCGAAACCCTAAACCTTAAACCCTGAACCCTAAACCCTAAACCCTGAACCCTAAACACTAAACCCAAAAACCCTGAAAACCCTGAAAACCCAGAGACACTAAGACTAAGGGGTCTCTGAGTTTTCAGGGTTTTGGGGGGCCTTGGGTTTCCAGGCTCGGGGCTTGGCTTTCCTTAGGGCTCTTTGGGGTAGGGTTTAGGGTCTAGGGTTTAGGGTTTAAGGTTTAGGGTTTAGGGTTTCCTACAAACGCCAGCTATTAAGGATCCACCATGTCGACAGTGGCACTCCCGAAAAACCAAGCTCGTCAAATCCCGTACTTCTAAAGGTCCGTATTTTCAGTAGGTAGTAGCACTCCATTGGTCCCTCAAGTGTGGTTGTAGCACAAGATACCCCAAAACCCACATGGGTTGTTGTCAAAATGAGGGTCCCCTTTTTGGGTCCTTAATACATTACGGCACCTAATATTTAAGGTGCCCCCAAAAAATACGGCACCTAGTATTTAGGGTACCCAAAAAGGGACCCTAATTTTTGACAGCTACCCACATTCTAACTGTGGAGACTCGTTCGGAGAAACAGGAACTCCAAGCCCCTCTTCTCCAACCCTAAACCCTAAACCCTAAACCCTAAACCCTGTTTAGGGTTTCAGGTCTGTTTTGGGGTGCAACATTGGGCTTCAGGGTCGACACCCAAAACCCCAAGCTTTGTTCAGGGGTTTAGGGTTTAGGGTTTAGGGTTTAAGGTTTAGGGTCCATAACCCCATAAGCCCTAATCCCGAAACCCTAAAGCCTTCTATCACATTTTAGACCCTGTCAGCCATTCCTTATAGCAATCCTTGACCATAAACCCTTCACCCTTATCTCCCTAAGCCAAGGACCCCCAAACCCCAAACCCTAAACCCTCGGGCCAAGCCACAAACCCAACGCCCTAAAGCCCCAGAGCCCTGTACCCTAAAGCCTTACCTAAAGCCCTAAAGCACCAAACCCAAAGCCCTAAATCCCTAGACCCTGTACCCTGAAGCCTTGCCTAAAGCTCCAGACCCTCAACCCTAAAGCCCTTAATCCCTAGACCCTGTACCCTAAAGCCTTACCTAAATCCCCAAGACAGGTCTGCTGGCTGGCCATCCCATAAAGGAATTAGATCCCTTCAAAGGAACCCCATAAACCCTTACAGGAGCCCTTTAAAGGAACCCTGGGAAGACTCCAAGGATAAAAAGAGGGACCCTTAATAAGGACCCCAAGGTATATACCCTGAATATAGCTATTATATACCCATGATATAGCCCATTATAAGGTAGGGGTCCCCATTAAGGTCCCCTCCTTTTCCCCTAAACCCTAAACCCTAAACCCTTATAGATCCCTTTAAAGGAACCCTAAAGGGCCCCTCCTTTTCCCCTAAACCCTAAACCCTAAACCCTTGACAGGTCTGCAACTTGGCCTCCGTGGCCTTGTCGGCCTTTGCCAAAGAGGGCCAAGGATTCGACTTCCAGGGGCTCTATGAGGTGACCAAGGCGGGGGGGGGGGGTTTCCTTTAAAGGGATCTACCTAGGGTTCCTTTAAGGGTTCCTTTAAAGGGATCTATCTAGGGTTCCTTTAAGGGTTCCTCAAAGGGATCTAGAAAGTTTAGGGTTGAGGGTTTAGGGTTTAGGGTTCCTTTAAAGGATCTTATAGAGGGTTCCTTTAAGGGATCTATGAGGTGCCCAAGGCAGGGGGAATTTAGGCCAGGGTTTAGGGTTTAGGGTTGAGGGAACCCTCAAAACCGGACCAAGGCGGGGGAATTTATGGTTTAGGGGTTCCGGTAAGGGCTCCTTTAAAGGATCTAATATAAGGTTCCTTTGAGGGATCTATGAGGGATTTAGGGTTTGGGGTGTAGGGGTTCCTTTGAGGGTTCCTTTAAGGGATTTTTTTTAGGGTTCCTTCAAGGGATCTATGAGGGGCTTAGGCTTAGGGTTTGGTTTAGAGTTGAATAGGGGCCTGAATAATTAGACTAGGGTTTGGAGAAAATCATACAAAGCCAAAAATGGAAAGTTGAAGGAACCTTCAAAACCCTACCAAGGCGGGATTTGCTTCAATGTAGGCGCCTTCATGATTAGAATAGGGCTTGAGGGTATATAATGCTATAACTATAGGTAGGAACCTTCAAAACCCTACGAATGCGAGGATTTGGTTTAGGGGTTTAGGCAAGGGTTCGGGTTTAGAGGTTTGGAAGGGTTTAGGGATTTAGGGATTAAGGGTATCCGAGGCGGAGCCTACCCATTTTGGTTTAGGTGCGACGTTACAGTGGTTTAGGTGGTAAGATGCTCAAGGGTCAGGGCTGCAGGGCTTTGGCGTGACGGGGTCCAATATGTTGGAGTTCAGGGTTTAGGGTTACGGTTTTGGCACGGAACGGATCCCTAAACCTTAAGGTAAAAGCCAGAAAGTTGGAATATGATTATCCTAACCCTTCTATGGTAAATTATAGGGTATCCTACCCTGAAACCATATTCCAACTTTCTGGAGTTCCCTGTAAACCCTAAACCCTAAACCCTAAACCCCTAAACCCTAAACCCCTAAACCCTAAACCCCTAAACCCTAAACCCTAAACCCTCCAAACCCTAAACCCTATACCCTGTAAACCTTCAGGTTTTGGGCACCAAGGCGGGGAACTCTCCAAGGTCCTTCAGATTTCCGGCTGGCGTTAATTGGGTTTGCTTTAGCCAGGGCTCTGGCTTGTGGCTTATGTAGGAACGAAAACTTGGCTCAAGCTCCTCGTGTTTGGAGTTTTGTGTTTTTCCCTTGGCTTTTGAAGCCCTCCCCTTTTCGGAGCATGGCGGGAAGCAGCAGTGACACCTTTGTTGGTGGCCGTGCCGGGGGAGTAGGTGAAGTCAAAAAGTGCGATCAGTGTGGCTACGAGCGTTTGAACATCAGCCACTTCTGCTGCCTGACAAAGACCTCCGAAAGGCCCTGGGCATTGAGACGAAGGAGAACCATGCCCGAACCAGTGTGAGCTTTTGCTGCTTCACATGTGCTGGGAAAGTCACGAAGGGTGATGCCTGGTACTTCGAGAAGCCTGAGTGATCTGGGGTTTAGGGTTTAGGGGTTTAGGGGTTTAGGGTTTAGGGTCGATTGCAAAACTAGACGATTGCCGAACTCGCGGTTGTCCGTTTTATTTGTTTCATGGCCTGCCTGCCCATGTTGGAACACCCCCATTTACAGCACAACGCCTTGGACATATTGCCTAAGCTGCAAGTGATTGTCAGTGGCATATCCCAACCACGATTTGGTGAATTCACCAGGCATCGCAAAACAATATTTTCGCGGCTTTTAGCATCCCAGTGGTGTGCAAGAGTAAGAACCTTAAGAAGCATGCAGTGCATGCAGTGCACGACAAGGGTAAAAAGCTGTGGATGTTGAGGGTCACGGATGCTGTAATTTAGGAACCTGATTAAGAAACCCTGGGCCTATAACACCAAAGGTTTCATATGAGAAACCCTAATAAAGGCCCAAGGTTTCTTATTCAGGTTCCTACTTTACCCTAAGCCCCTGAACCTTAAACACCAAACCCCTAAACCTTAAACCCCCAAACCATAAACCCCCAAACCCCTGAACCCTATACCCAGCCCTACATTACGGCTCCTGCCCTTAAACCCCTTATAGTCCCCTTATAGATCCCTTAAAGTAATCCTTATAGGAACCCCTTAAAGGAACCTGCAGGACCCCTTAAAGGAAGCCCTAGCTTCTTACATTAGGTTTCGGATCACAGGGCCAAGGGCATCGGCTGTTCCTCTATCAGGTCTAGGCTGGGAGCCTAAGGCAGCATGGCCCCAGAGCCCGATATCACAATCTAAACTTTCGTAGGTTCCTAGGGTTTAGGGTTTAGGATCTAGGGTTAGGGTTTAGGATTTATGGTGTAGGATTTAGGGTTTAGGGTTCCTGAGTAATACTCTTTTGCTTATTTTGGGGAGATTTCCCTTTCTTAAAACCGAGTAGAAGGAAACAGGGTACCCTTACTTGAAATGGCTGAACCCTAAACCCTGAAGCTCCAACTGAAGCCGCAAAATCCCCAAACGCTGGACCGTCAAGCCCGAAGCCCTAAATCCCCAAAACTGTAGACCCAAAAAGCCTAACATAGGGCCCTGAATAATTAGACCAGGGTTTGGGGCATTGCATACTATAACCATAATAAGGAACCCCCCAAACCATATTCTAATTAGTAAGGCCCCTACATTGCATCCTTATAATAGCCCAGTGGCCCTTATAGACGCCTTTAAAGGAACCCTAAACCCTAAGCCGAATTATGAAGGCCCCTACATTAGGCCCCAAAATCAGGGCTTTCCTTGGCACAAGCAGGTCGCCACACGGAACCTGAATCTGGTCATCGACCGCAGCTTAGCCAAATAGTATTCTTGACTCGGTTCCTTCAAGGGTTCCTTTACGGGTCTCTCTAAGAGCCCCTTTCAGGGTTCTATACGGCTAGGGCTTCTATAAGGGTAAGGGCTCTAGAAGGGTACTATAACGGTACCATGAACAGTACCGTTTTGCCCTTTTGATTCGGGTTCCCTTGTTAAAACCACATACAGTAGCAGAAAAAGGGCACCCTGATTCTTTGGGGTCAACTGTGGAACCTAGCTGAGGGTTCAGGGTTCAGGTTGAGACTTTCGTGACGCTAGTGGACTACCCTTATTCCCTTTTTGTAGTCCTGGGTTCCTTATAGAGTTACCCAATACCAAAAAGGGAGCCCTTTTTGTTCCTAGGTTACTGGGCATCCTAGAATAAAGTGCCTGCAGCAAGCCTCCGCGGACACTCGAAAAAAACAGGATCCCAGCTGGCCTTTGTGCAGTTCCATTAGGGCTACGGGTTTAGGGCTGAGAAGGGTTCAGGGTTTAGGGCTGAGGTTCAGGGTTTCGGGATCAGGGGTGAGGGTTCAGGGTTCAGGGCTGAGGGTTTAGGGTTTAAGATAGTTAGAAAACGGAGCAGCCCGAACCTCTCAGATCAGTTACATTTAGGCTTGTTTTGAGCATCTGAGGCATCCGATGAAAGCCTGGAGCCCATAATCATACCCTCCCAAAACTGCCCAACTTTTAGTGGTTTGTTGTTTAGGGTTTAATGTTTAGGGTCTAGGGTTCGGGATTTAGAGCTGAACTTCAATTAATAACCTTCTTTCTGCCCGGAGACGTCGAACCCTATAACCTAAGCCCTAAGCATTTGTTCCCAAACACTCAAATTCCATTTGCCCACTGGCCGAGGCAACCACTACCCCATCCCGGAAGCGAGAAAGCATCGTCCCAAGTTCTGCTCCAGAGCTTTGGTTTTCATTCTTCAGGGCTATAAACCCTAAACCCTAAACCCTTCATCAATGACCCAAAGAAAAGGTGTGGGGTTTCAGGATTTCAGGGTTTCGGGGTGTTAGGGCCAAGGGTTTAGCGGCTAGCGGTTTTTGTGCGAATGGGTTTGGGTTTAGCGGTTCAGGGCCTTTGCCAAAACCGTTCGAGCTTTAGACACCGCGGATGCGTGTAAAGTATTGAATTTCGAGCCCAAACTCTTCAAGTCTCCCAAAGGGTTAAGGGTTTAGGGTCCCTAAACCCTAAACCCTAAACTGGAATCCTGCTCTTCGGCGGCAAGGGCGCTTGGCCAGGCCTTGACCCTAACTCGTTTAGCGCGGCCCTCATGTCTTACATCGACGACGCGGTCACTAGGGTGGACACCACAAGGAGGTATGCGGGTCAGAGTCTTCGAGGTGGTGAGAGACGCGACCCGCGACGCTTGGGCCGAGTTCGGCATGACTCTAGACGTGGTCAAGTGCTTCCCGTCGGATTCTTACTTCGAGTTCCTTGGCGAGTCCGGGTACCAGGGGCGCTTGGTCTGCTCGGGCTCGAAGGCCATGATGAGGATCCAGGCAGAGGCCCTGGAGGATGACATGAGTCCTTTGTCCGGGGTCCGGTCCTGCCCAGTTGAAGCTGCGAGTATGCCTTTGAGGACTACAGGCTGTATGTAATAGGTTCCACAATAGAATTTCCAAAAAACTTCGCTGGAATGCCTGGTTGTCCTTATCCCGGCTCTACCTACTAGGTATTCCGACTGTAGCAAGAAGGAAAGGGCCCTCAAAAAAGAAACCGGCAGTAAAACCCCAAAGCACTTCAAAACCACACGGACCTGAACCCACCCTAAACCTGAAAATCCCAAATCCTAAACCCTAAGCCTGACATGCAAACCCTGAACTCTAAACGCTCGTACAATTTTGCCAAATTGTTAAAATGTCCGTTAACCCTAGACATCCTGAACCCCACACCCTAAACCCCACACTCCAAACCCTAACGCTAACCCAAAACCCTCATCGCAAACCCGTTACCGTAGACCCTAGCCTTAAAAACACCCTAACGCGCCACTGTTATCAGGGTTTTTTAGGAACGAGGTTCACGCCCCGACATGCTCCCCCTCAAAGCCTAAACCCCGACTGAATGCTAAACCCGTGAAACACCTCAACCGTTAACTTCTGAAATCTAAATGCCAAACCATGAACCCTAAACCCGAAACCCGTAAACCCTAAACCCTGATCCCTAAACCCTAATCCCTAATCCCTAATCCCTAAACCCTAATCCCTAATCCCTAAACCCGAGAAGCCCGAAACAGGTCTAACATGCGCCATCGGCCTATAGGGTTGGGAGTCCAGGCCATGGAAGCACTTTGCATCTGCGGGGTTTGGCGATTTGGGTATGAGAGTTTGGGGTTTCGGGTTTTGGGGTTGAGGGTGTAATTAGAGGTTTAGGCACTTGCGTGTGCAGGGTTTTGCAATTTCGGTATCGGTATGAGGGTTTAGGGGCTTAGGCGCTCTTATGGTTGAGAGGTTGAGAGTGTCGTCGTGTAATACCCCAAACCCTAAACCCTAAAGATCAAGGTTTATTTTTTCACTTGTGGATTGCAGGCTTTGGGCTTAGTGGGGCTGCGTGCACGGAGTTACTGTCTTACCCATGTGGGTGGTTGTCAAAATTAGGCTCCCTTTTTGGGTCCTTATTATAATACGGCACCTAATATTCACGGTACCAAAAAAGGGACCATAATTTTGACAACCGCCCATGTAATTCTACAGGTTTTGCTCCCCAAACCCTGTTTGTTGAGGCCCCCTAAACCCTAAACCCTCAACCAAGATTCCGGTTTGGGGGGTTCTCGCCGCCACTTCAGTGCACGTGTTTCGGAATGCCACGGGGAAATGAGGCCAGGCGGGAGACCTCACCTAAACCTTAAGCCCTACTTAGAGGCCCAGGGGACTCAGTAAGTAGGTTCTCAGTAGATTTCTAAAGCAGAGGCAAAGCGAATTCTTCTTTCTGCAACCGGTAAAATTGCATGTGACACCAATTGTAGTAGGTGTGGTTCTCGCCATTTGCCATGAATCTCGAAGACCCCGGTCATGCTAGTAGCTGCATGCATTCTTGCACATCCCAGGACCTTGGCTTTGGTTCTGCACGGGGTCTGGACCGATGCTTTCGACGACATCAATGGCAGGAAGTTGTTCCTGAGGGTCTTTGGTCCGGACGACACCAGGGACAAGAAGTGGTACATGTATTGGCTGGAAGACGGCTTTTACGTGATTGCAGACAAGGTGGTGAGGGACGATGATTGGACCAATGTCCAGGTTCTGTGCAGGATCAGAGAGGGGAGAAACAGCGAACTCCCCTTAGGAGTCATTCATGCACCATGGATAGCCGGCGACGACCCGGAGGCCATAGTGCCGGCATGGTGTCAAGGATTGTGCTCCTGCGTGCGAGAAGAACTTCTGATCTTCTGCAACGAAGCATGGACAGCCGAAAAGCAGTATGATGCAAGCACAAAGCAGTTGGAGTTGTGCTAACTAAACCCGGTTTAAACATCAACCAAGCAAGCAGCAAGATCTTCCAATGATCTCTACACCCAAATCTCACCCCGACATCGTAAATACTACGGTTGATGATACAATCCTGCGTTACCCTAAACCCTAAACCCCCACAATGCCTTTCGAACTCATCTTTTTCCTTCTGCACTTTCCGAAGAGAAGTCTGCAGCTCCTGCAGAGGGCATTTTAGTTCTCGGGGAAATTTTCAGTCAAAGGGGAAAAGGAGGGACCCTTAATGGGGGCCCCTACCCTGTAATGGGCTATATAATGGGTATATAATAGCTATATTAAGGGTATATACCTAGGGGTTCTTATTAAGGGTCCCTCCTTTTACCCTTGGGTTCAGGGCCTGGCAGATGCCTTCCTGATCCTCCGCATGCCTTTCGCAGCTCGGCGGGCAGTGTCAGTGCTTCAGTGGGGAGAACAGCTTTCTAGAGACTCGAATATCCCTTGATTAAGGAATATACCTTAAATTGTACTTGGATCCCTAGTATGATTTAAGGAATATTCCTTAATTCAGGGATATTGGAGTCTCTGGGATTTCCTGTAGCCCCAAATCCTGTGAAAAAGTAGCTCATGACTCCTTACACATGGGGTAGCGCCCTTAGAACACCAGGTAGTTAGAGCCACAACTTCGGGATCAGGGCATCAGAATTTGCGGTTGAAGACTTTGTGCCTAGGGTCAGGAGTTAGGTGAGGACACCTTGCAGTTGATTATGGAAGCCTGTGACAAATAATAAAATGCATCATAGCACCCTTATTCCCGTTTTGTAGTCCTAGGCTCCTTATAAAGTTACCCACGACCAAAAAGTGAGCCCTTTTTTCCTAGGTCCTAGGTTACTGGGCATCCTAGGAGTTTAGGGGTAGTTTAGGGTTGTTGGTTGCTGGAGCGGGGCCAAAAGCCAAGACCTTCAACCGAACACCCCTAAACCCAAAACCTTTCGATTGTTAGGGGGCTTTAGGGTTTATAAAGGGTTTAGGGCCTAGGGCTTATAGGGGCTCCCTACGACGCTTGGAACGTCGGAACGGTATGCTTCGGATTCGCCTAACTAAGTGCACTTACACAAGAATAGAGCAACCCCATAGAACCCTTCTGAAACCCTCTAAACACCCTCTAGCCTCCTATCAAAAAGCACACCGCCAAGAAAAAGAACCTTTGTCAAAATCCCCCCTAAACCCGATGCCCCTAAAGCCCTTAAGCCGTCAGATTCATAAGTTTTCTATGCTGATTTTTATACCGCAGCACGGCTCACCCTGACCTGCTTGGGCTTTCTGCTGCCATGGCGACGGATCGTTTGAGGGTTTAGGCTTCAGGGTATCCAAGCCCGGTGCGCCAGTGGTCCTGCCGGCAAGTCTGCAAACCGCAGCAACGGGGCAGTTGCCGCGGTGGAGTACATCCTTCGATTATGTTCGGAATCAAACCCTGAGCCCTAAACCCTCAGAGAGCCCTTCAAGGAATGCTCAGAAGAACCCTTAAAGGAGCCGCTAATTACCCGAAACCCTAACCCGAAATCCTAAACCCCCAAACCAAGCCTTTAAAAACCGGAACCGTCGATTGCCTGGCTGGATCAAAACCCTAAACCCTAAACCATAAACCTTTACAGGTTTAGAAAAAGGCCACATTGCGTTTGAAAGAAAACACCTGTAAAGGAACTTAGGTTTGGAACTTCAAGGCACCCAGATCTGCCAAAACCCCCTTCATTAAAGGAAGATACTTTAAGTCATATCAGGGGCCCTGCTGAAATTGAAGGGATCTTACGGTATATTCCTCAACTAAGGGAAAAAGTCGTAGAATGGGTCCTACTGCAATTGAAGGTGTGTTCTTTCATTGAGGGAATTTTGGAGGGTCTCGGTTCGAGAACCTCGGTTTAGGGCTTAGGGCTTAGGGTTGTGGGGCCCGAAACCCTTGACAGTAAGCCGTATTTGGAGGTTCATGGGACTTAGTAAGTACAGTCAGAAGTACTTTAACTGGGGTTATAACCAATTATAAGTTTAGTTACCTTGTGCATAACCGTAGTTACTAAGTCCCATGAACCTCTAAGTATAGGACCTTGTAGTAGTCCTTAGAGTCCTCATTTCAATTTTGTCAGATGCCTTTACAATCAGCTGAAGGCTCTGGTGGTCTGAACTAGCTCTAGGATGACAACTGGGGTTGAGGATTTAGGGTTTTGGGGTGATGAACCCCTCAACCCTAAACCGTAAAGCCTCAAATCTACACCGCAGCAAAGGAGAGCGAGGAAGCACGCCAACTGAATGAAGACATCTTCGAGACGATGCCTGGGCGCATTTCTATTTTGGTGTAGTGCTTAACACAGGGGCGACGAATAAGAATAGGGTTTGGGGGTTCCTGATCGTAATCATAGTATAGCAATATACCCCCAAGCCTCATTGTAATTATTATGGCCCCTAAGTACGGGCATTCAGTTGATATGTCTCCCTTCTGTCATGTGGGCAGTTCTCTAAGTTAGGTTCCCTGTTTAGGTCCCCGACTACAAAAGGTACCCTAAAAGGGAGCCTAATTTAGAGAGCTACCCGTGTGGTATCCCTAATGCCAAACGACAGAAGTTTGACTAACTCGCAATGACATACCCTTTTCGTCACCGTATTTGTCATATGGGTGGTTGTCAAAATTTGGGTCCCTTATTTAGGTCCCTATTATAATACGGCACCTAGTATTTAGGGTACCCAAAAAGGGACCCTAATTTTGACAACCACCCCTATGATATGCCGATGCCCCCAAACCCTGCCCTCCTTGTCCAGGACCCTATATTACCAGGTTGCCGCCTCTACTGGGTTGTCCTTTGGGAACTTTTGAAATTCCCCTTGCTATTTTGTAGAGAACCATAATAGGAAGTAATTTTCAAAGGGCTTAGCGGACAACGCAGCCTATTCCTGGTAACACGGCTGGCGTTGGTCTGAAATATTTTGCGGCCGTTGATGACGGTGGAAGATGATGTGGAAGGAGCTGACCAGTGTGATCTAAGTTGGGCAACCCAGATGGTCCGTATTCGTATTCAAAGTAGCACGACTCATGCACGCAGTAGTACCAGCCGCCATGCTTACGAACCGCGATGCGGGTTCTAGCGAAAATCTCAGTCAGTACGGCAACGAGCCGCCAACGAAGCAGCCGCTTGCTTATCGCATTCCGTATAAAGCCTGGGGTATATAGAAGTTTGAATAATTGCCAATATCACTCCTTAGAGTTCCTTCATAGAGTCAGAAATATGCCAGAACATGTACCACTAGCACCCTATTTCAATTATCAAGGCAAGGCCCTTGTGGGAGCCGAAGTTAGGGTTTAGGATTTGGAGTTAAGGGTTTAGGTTTCAGGATCCGGGGTTTCAGGGTTTAGGGTTGAGGATTTAGGGTTGAGGGCAGCCCTGATGACTGATAACCTCCAAGGGCTTAGGGTTTAGGGTCATGATAGGGGTGTCATAGGATTCTTCTAAGGGCCCCACAAAGGACTCAAAACGGGCTCAAAAATCTAAACCGTAAGCCTGCTACCCTTAAACCCTAAACCCTAACCTAAACCCCAAACTCTAAACCCTAAACCCTAAAGTTTAGGGTGCCAGGAGGCTCCACAGCCGCGACCGCCACAAGGTCTGTATCTCATACCCTACCCCCGTTTTAGGGTTCAGGGTTTAGGTAGCATACTTAGTGACCTAGTTTTATGCTCAGGATCTGCTGAAAGAAAGGTAGATAACCCTAAAGAAGGGGTAGGGTACGAGCCTACGGGTGCTGCATTGGTACCCAGAGATTCTAATATCCCTTAATTCAGGAATATTCTTTAAATCATATTAGGGATCCGACTATAGTTTAAGGTATATTCCTTAATCAAGGGATATTGGAGTCTCTGGGTATTCTTACAACCATGACCAGTTTGAGGATGTTTGCCTTTACCAAAAAGTCTGCCATAAACACTGAAAACTAAACCCACACCTTTAAACCTAAAGCCTACTGTACCCGTCAGCACCCCGCACCCTACTACCCAAAGCACCGAAAACACCCTGAACCCTGAAATATTCTTCATAACCGTAGCAGCTTGATAGTAACCTTTATAGTAGCCCTTAAACAAGCCCAACCCACAGCCCCGAAATCCCAACACCCTAAGCCCATAAACCCTAAACTCCAAACCTCTAACCCTACACCCCTAAACCCTAAACCCTTAAACCCTTAAGAACCCTAAACCCGAAGCCAACATTAAACCCTAGCACCCTAAATCCCTACACTGCCCTCGGAGGTTCATGGGACCAAGAAGCTGCAGTAGGTTTCGGGTTTGGGGTTTAGGGTTCTGGGTCTATAGGCTAGGATGCCCAGTAGTACGCTTATATCCTTTTTGTAGTCCGAGGTTCCTTATAAAGTGACCCACTACCAAAAAGGGAGCCCTGTTTATTCTTAGGTTACCGGGCATCCTAGTAAGTCATTACATGATGTTTATGGTTTAGGGTTGGTTTGTACCGCTATTTTCTAAGTCCCATGAACCTGTGCAAAGTGAATCTCCTTTTTGGCGTCAGGTCTCAAACGCCAGGACGTGGCCAGACCTCTAAAAAGAAAGGTTGTTTGGGGTTAAGGGTAAGCCATAAACCGCACCCAGGATCTACTTCGCTGCCTGCGAGGCTTCTTGCGAGCTGGCAAAGTCGGTGCCCGGTGCTGCCTTTGAGGTTCAGGGTAAACCCTAAGCCCCTAAACCCTAAACCAGAAACCCCGAACAACTTACCGTTTTAACGACTTATATAAGGAACAGGAAGGCTTGATAGGGTCCAGGTAGGGGTTTAGGGTTGTTTTAAGGGATCTCTGTGAGGTTTAGGGCTAGGGTGTCCGGGTGTTAGGGTTTAGGGTTTAGGGCTCACGACGGCGAGGATGACGACCACCACCACCACCGCCGCCACCACCGCCACCACCGCCACCACCACCAAAACCTCCGTCAAAACCGCAGGATAATATCAAGAATGTATGCTATGTAATCGTACAAGACTATA